ATACTTATTTTTCTTTTATTTATACTCGACTAAATCAGGCCTTTATAAAGCTATTCGGAGGTCCTATTTTAAATATAATAGCTCCCTTATAGTAGTAATTAGGGGGTATATTATGTAATAAAAATAGGGACCGTAATTTATAAAGTATTTATTACGTACTATATTATATATATCTTACTTATATCCTATATATAGACCTTTCTCTTTTATCTATTTCTACTTTAATAGGTTAGGCCACTTTACTATACTCCGTATGCCCATTGCTGTGTGCCATAACTCGTGATATAAAACGAGACTATCATGGGATACTTGAATATTGCAGTGGCTGTGGTCATCGTATAATGCGGCGCCAATCCCCATGCTCTTTCTCCAATGGTTTACCCACTCCTGGGCAGCATATTCTGCAAAAGGATACTTTTTCACGGTCTCCTTACGTCCGAACATCTGTAAGTCAGATTCTAGCAGCAAAGTGAGACACATCGATGCCAGCAGTCGATCTCCACAGCTCCTGTGTATACTGAAATAAGCGTATCCTTCAGGTAGAAGAATTCGACTAGATTCGAGATATTCCTGTACAGAGAAATGGGCGATACAAATGATGACCACTTCTGAGTAAGGTTCCACGGTTACTTCGGTGAAGCCTGGGCAAATTTCCTGAAGGGCGTCTGCATCTGGCAATCGCCTGTCTGGGTTCAAGAAGGACGTGGCGCCGATCTCGATTGCCAATGCGTTGATTAGCTCCGGCACAGTCAACGGTCTTGATGCGCAACAGAGAATCGCCAGCATCTGCTTGGCGTAGTCTTTATTGGGAACATTCTCCAGCATTCTTTTGTAGGTTTCATCCAGGGTCGGAGGTAATGATTGAAGTCGTCGATCGAGAGCCTGCTTGCTCCTTGGACACGTCACAAGCGCTTGGAACTGACATTCAACCCAACGAAAACTTACAAACATCAGCACTAACAGTTTTGGATTGAGATATTCATACTCACACGCCATGTGCCTGCTCGGTTAGGACCTTTTCAATTAGAGAATGGTGTTCGTTCCAACGCTTGAGACGCCGTTGGAGATATTGCGAGACATAGCTCGCAATATCATCATCTATCCCTTCGTGCTTCATCAAGATGGTCGTTTGTTCTTCGGCCTCTATTCCTTCGCGGATATCGACTTCGTCTCGGCTGGTAACCAAAAGATGCAGTCTCAGCTCTGTCCAAGCCCGAATCTCTTTCAATATTTCTAGGAGATCAAACCGACTTGTTTCCCGAGGACTCTCGTCTAGTGCATCCAAAATTACATAGACACTCTGAAAAAGCTGCGAGACCTGACGAAAACATCGAAGCAGGTCTGCGGTTGACGGTTGGACATTGTGTTTCTGTCCCAAATCGTGTATTCTTCGTAATGCAGAGGGGGCATATTCGAGTTGGTCAGAGAGCTGCAAAATAAGCGCTCGGAGCATACCTGATGCATCCTGTTTGGAGTCATCATTAAACGAGAAGAAGAAGAAACAGAGCCCGACGGAGAGGTTAGATCTACGGTGGCGGAGGGTGTGTTGTATGACCGTAGAACTCAGAACAGTCTTTCCGCAGCCGGCAAAGCCCTTCAGCCAAAGGAACGAGTTTGACTCCTCCAACCAGCGAGTGAATTCAGGCCCGTTGACGAACCAAGTACCAGTCCCAGGATGTTTCTTCGCACATGCTTCAGTGAAGTTGAAAGTCGCGTCAGGAGCATTAAGCCAAGCTCGGATCTCGGAGGAGACCTGTGAGGTTCGGATCAAGTTGAGTATGGCATTGGTGTTCTCGATTTCATCTTGTACGAGATCGATGGTCTGCTGCTGCAGGAGTGACAAAGCCAGAGACAGTTGACTGATGAGGTAGTCAATGTCTTCGTGCAGCTTCAGGAGAGTGCTCTCCCGGAACGGGTATGCCAACCGACGAACGGCTCCTTTGATTGCAGCTCGAGCACCATCGGTCGGTGTCTTCTCAAACTTTCTCGCTTCTTGTCCCAAGTCGTCGATGGACTCCTCGCAGTGTTGAATCGCGGACTCAATGTTTTGAAGCAGGGGCTTCTCGCTGGATCGAAACTTGCGATCGCCGAGATGGGTGTTCAATCTTTCGAGCAAAGATTGCAAATCTTCGAGTTTCCGCAGGGTGCGAGCAATGTCAGAATGCTGGTCTTTCGCGGCACTGTAGTACTTGTAGATTGACTGTACTACCTGGGTGCCGAGGGAAATGATCCCAATAACGCTGCCTGCTGTCGACAAAGGATCCGCCATGGGTGACGAAGGTGAGAATAAGCCATACGCGTTGCTGGTGTGTCTGAATCTGGGTGGTAGAGGAAGAATTTCAGAGGCTTCGAGGGCCTTGGGAGGAAATCTGGAACATAATGATTTGACTGTTCGAAGAAAGGATCAAGAACCAATCAAGCCGGTCAACCCTGCTGCGGCTGCTCAACCTGCGGGCGTTTGCCTCCCGTGGCTTCCTGGCGAACCACCGTTGGAAGACATGCGGACGCGGGTGCAAGTGCGACACATCAACCTGCATGGGGTGGAAGACAACCAGTGAGATCCTTGAAAAGCGCCTTGCCACATAGCCACACTACAGCTTCTTGGGTTTGGGTTCTGCTTGCATGAAAGGCAGGGCGCCAAGAGGAGGTGATCTTATCACAGAGCTCCCTTGAGTCGCTTCAACGCTCGAGTCCGGTGAGAGGTATTTCAAGGTGGCACAAACAAAGGATGACTTGTCATATATTAGAGAAATTAAACAACGATATCTGGCCATACGGATACAACATTGACATATTCGAACGAAACGCAAATGAGGAACGGAGGCGTTCAAGCCCAAGTCCAACCTGCCTACTCATAATCGTGACAACATCATAAACGTATAGGTACTGAGGGCGAAAAGAGTGGCACCCAACAGATCAGCAAAGTGTAAGGCTTAAAACCTCAGAGCCACGTTGCTAACGAGGAGGAACAAACGTTAGATGATTCAATCATCCACAATCTCATCCGAAGACGAGGACGACCCAGACATGATGGAAGAAGCATCATCATAAGACGGGATACCGCCCGAGTCAGAGGTGAAATCCGTGTCCGTAGCATTAGTCCACAAAGCAACCCACCGACCGAGGTCTTTCCGCCCCTCGCCCAGGTCTTCCTCTCGCGTCAGGATCGGCCCAAAGTCAGGCTCGAAGCCGAGTTCAGCGCGCTCTCTAGGCTCAACTGTGATCACGCGCGGGAAAGCAGCAGGTGGCGGCGGAGGAGGAGGCATGCATCCCTTCGGCCCCGGACCTCCAGGACGGCAGAATCCCGGCGGGCGCATTCCCCGAGGCATGGGGGGCCCTCTCCAGCAGCCTGGTGGCATTGGCGGCGGCGTGTAAGGCTCGGCCCAGGTGAGCGGGTCCGGTGCGCCGGGTGGTACGAAGACGCCTGCGTTCGTGCCGTCGTTGAAGGCCGAGATGCGCATGTGGAGGACGGCGCCGGGCTTGATAGTTGTTTGCCATGCCTCTGGCGTGATGACGGTGTCGTTTTCGTCGACGATCTCGTATACTCCGTCCCTTACGAGGTTCCAAAGCCTGTTGACGTCTTTGAAGCGCTGGTGGATTGATACGCGCGCACCCTGTAGATGCCGGTTAGTTGAAGATTCATACAGTACTAAAAGGAGATGATCTTACTTGAACGGTGCGGCACTGCTCAAACGGAATATCGTACTTTCGACCCAGAACATCAGTCATGTGAACGGGTTCTGCCGCCGGATCGACCGACATGTACACAACCGCGACATCCGGACGGGTGGTGACGTCCACAGTGATGAGCTGCCTGGTGCGGCCATCCTTTCTCTGGGCGCGGAAGAGAGCACCTTGAACGGCAGAACGAAGTTGGTCGTCCTGAATCAGGAACGCGTCGCCCGGGATCTTGGAGCTTTGCTTCAGGATGCGCTTCAGCTCGAGACGGAGCATCTTGGGCTCCAATGCCAAGAAGGACTCTGGGAACGGCCCATTCCTCAGGACCGTCGCCTCGAGCTCCAGGTCGGTGATAGATGGTATGGTGTTGCGGCTGAAAATACCCTTGAACCATTTGCCAACAGACTTGAAGACCTTGGCTGGGAATCGACGCTTTGGTGCTAACAGCTTGATTTCAACCGGGCCTGCGTCAGGGCCCCCATCCCATGGCTGGTGCCAGAAGCTTGTCGGGGCAGCCATCGGCGGTGGCGGAGGAGGAGGCGTGTCAATTTCAACGACGGGCGTGACCTTGGCATTCTCCTCCGTCTTATCACCACAAACAGATGGCGCCCTGGAGTCATTGGCAGTCTCGCCAGACTTCCAGGATTCTGCATCATCATCAACATCGCTGCCACTGACTGATGATGCTGCCGAAGATTCGTAAACGCTCTCAGTGTCAGGCTTGTCTGCAAGCGCCAAACGTTCCTTTCTCTCAGTCATTTCAACGAGCTCTTTGGCGGCTTTGCCCTTGCACGTCAACAAGCGCATTGCCAGACTCCTCGAGGCCAGTTCCTCGTCAAAGCTTCCAGGGTATCTTGGTCTGATGAGTGATTAGCTAAATGTAAATCGTCTCAGCACAAAGAACACTAACTTGATTTGGAGGCCGGCAATACCAGCTACTTGAATGTGGAGGAGCAGACTGGCTTTGAGCCAGCGCAGTTGGACCTCGCTCGTCTCAATGACTTCCTCGATCACGCCCCAGTCCATGTTGTCGCTGATGGCATGCAGTCTGGATGCCTTCAGGTCCTCCGTGCCAAGTGTCTCAAAGTCTACATCTGTGACAACCTTGACAGCAAGACTTGCCCTGTAAACGCTGCGGATGATGGTAGTGTACACCTTTCCACATCTCGTTGCAAGATCTCCGATGGCCTCTCGGCCGGCGTACCGGTAGACGGGTGATACCTCAAGTGCATCAGAGGCGAGAAATTCCCGCAGCTGGCTTAGTGCTGCCGCTGTAGCAAGAACATCGTCACTGAGACTGTGGATATCGCTATCTGATCCAGAGGTGCCGAGTTGATAGATTGCGAGCTTCGTAGCAAGCTGTACACCCAATTTGGCGATGCCAGCCAAGTCAACGAAAGAAGCAGCCATCTTGTGCAGAATGCCAGCTACTAAGATGGTCACGAAGGCAAAGGGAGGACTGAGAGAGAACGGTGCCAACAGGATATCGGCTCCTTTCTTGCACTTGAAGCACGATGAAGAGCGGGGTATTTATCTCCTGTCAGCACTGCATTCTAGTTGCAAGCCTCATTTTGTGTCATTGGGCTGGGCAAGCTGCAAGCTTCGAGATTCCCGTTGGCTGGTCAGAACGAGCGTCCAATGAGCCGCATCAAGCGATGGTGCTACAGTGCGTTTCTTGCCCTTGGAGGTTTGAGATGCAAGGTGTTCTAGAATCAGTGGCTCGATAGGAGTCGCTATCGTGAGGGCATTTATGACTGTACCTCATCGTCATGTAGTCACGGCACAACGATGATGCAATTGGACCAGCAGATGCAGCTGTAGCCCCAAGCACGGCATCAGGCTTCCCCTCCGATGCAGTGAAGGTGGGCTTGTTGTGGCACAGAGTCTTGTCCGGTGCTGTCTCGGGTTGCGAATGGATCTGGCTGCCTCATCATGTTCGTGTTAGTGAGGCCATCATCACAACTCCACGAGCGCGGTTGCGCGGGGGATGCATCGTCGAGGGAGAGCCTGCCTGAGGTGTCTGCAGGCTATAGGCATCAACTGCAGGCTGCGATCGCTACAGGTCTCTCATTTGGGTAACAAGAAGCAAAGTGGAAGTACACTGCAGGTGCGAGAAGAGGTCCTGCCCAATTAATTTAAGCTGCACGTGAATCCCAACGGCTCCCGTCCACGCAGGGCAGGTACGGCAGGCGCGCTTTCCCCCCGCCCAGAAAATGGAGAACCCGGCAGGAGCCACGCACATGGAATGGAATGCATGCCGTGTCCCGTCCGCCTGCAACTTCCACAAACTGGCTAGGCAGTTAGGCAGGCAAGGCAAGGCAGATAGGTAGGCGAATTCAGGCAATTCTTCGCCCGTCATGGTTCGCCCTCTGCTTCACTGATGTACCACAACTCTGTTCCACAACTAGTTGTGAAAATATTTCGAAGCCGCGCAGGTGCTCGCTCGCGTCTGGAGCTAGCCTGCGGGATCGTATCTTTTGTAGGTAGCTATCCGATGCATCCTGTGAGGCTGCCAAGAGATTCCAGATGCCGAAATTTTGAAGATCCCGTCACCAGCCTGAGACTGCCTCGGCCTCGTTGAATGCCCGCATCTTGGAGCGCGATTCGACAACATGCAGTTGTGACGTACGTGGATATTTCTCTTTCGCCTAGACTATCGGCCTCTTCCATAGCAAATTGATACCCACGTTGACTGCTCCGGAGTGACTCTCTTACACAGCCAGTCAGGTAGCTGTGGTAATGCCGAGCTGTCACAACGAAGTAAGCGACTCAGATCACATCAACACCCAATGAATCCCAGATCTAATTCTTCCCAACCCAAAGCCTAAACCCAAACCCAACGTCAAGCTACCCAGAAAGCAAGAATTCAGCCTCAGGCCACCCGCCGGCCACTTGCTCCTCATAAAGGCATCGAGAAGCGCAGACTTCCGTGGTTGAACACAGCACATCCAAATTCAATCTTCCAGTCTTTCGGACACAACGGGAACGTGGGGCTTAAGTTGAGCAGGATACCCAAGCACCAAGCTTATCGCTCTAAGCCGAACCTAATCATTCTCATTAACCTCACCACCCGTCCTCATCCTGTCTCTGCCTCATATTACTCGCTGAATAATTCACTAAGAACTAACAACCTGGGACCTAGATTGGTAGTCTGAACAGGATACTCAAGGTGCCCCATGCTCTTCTGTCAATATTCCCTAAACAGCCCTAGCAACAGGAAACACCCAGTCTACCCAGCGACCTGCGCGAGTCAAATAAAATAGATCTCCTTGCCCCCATCTCTCATGTTAGCGGGGACGAGGTGTCTTTATATACGAGAGCTAGATAGACGCCTACGCTCGAGGCTGCCTCCTACTAACACTTGCATCGGCCAGGTGTATATCATGCTCTAAAGTCTTGCGTACTCAGCCTTCAGAGGCCGAAGCTGGGACCCCCCCCCCCCAGAGTTGCAAGTCAAAGCTCAGCATGTCCAATCACAAAGTCGCAACAAGTCACTCATGAAAGACCAACAATATGGCCCATGACAATTACAATTGGCAGGTTTTCCCTCATCTTCTAGTTCCCGAAGGATAGAGATACTCTACATATCTACGCTCACCCGGTTCCGAAAACCAGCATCATTTGTTTCCCACCTACAAACACAATCCATCTACATCCATCCTTTGAACAACTACAAAAGTAAAGCCGGCCGTTTAGGTAAAAGGTCTAATCGCTGTAAAAATGCCCGAAAAGAAAAGAGTAAATGTAGGGGAGAAAGAACAGGGTTTGTCGGCATTGGACAATGAAGAAGAGTGAAAATGTGCCATGTTTTTTTTTATACTGAAGATGCATCACTGGTGATTGAAACGGTAATCCCGTCCCCACACGTGTGAAGGCCGAAACAGTTGATTTGAAAGAGACAACGCCTCGCTCCGGGGGCAACACCGTGACCACTTCCGTATCTAACCTGTGGCCCGCATACGTATGGACAGAATGGGTCGGTGAATGTCGCCACGGTTTCCGGGGACAATTGCCTGGAGCTCGTTGATATTCATAGCCTCTCGGGCATGTAGTGGTATTCGTAGCAGCGCCTGTTCTCCAGGATAGGTACCCTCCAAATCCCATCGAAAACTCTCATGTCCGGTTTATTCTGCTGCCAGTGCTCTGATTCATACATCGCCGCTGTTTTCGGCGAGACCACGAAACCCAGTATGAAGCAAGTCTTGTTCGTACATCATACACCATAGTTCTGCGTGGGCACGTTCAGCCGTAGAAAAGCTCGAACTGGGTCGCGAAGCCGGGTTCTGTCGGCTTGACCTCCTTGATGGGGTGGAGGATCATGGGTGGCAGACACGGACGACCATGCGCTCTCTCCCAGTTCTTGCCGCCGATCTTAGTGTCGACATATCCGATCCAGTTGTTGTACAGTCTTGGTGGGGGTTCGGCGCGGTAGTACCAAGTCATGCCCTGGTATCTACGCTCTCTTCCCCAACCCATAGGGCTGCCCTCACCACCGCTCTCGCCGCGAGGTCCAGGATTGAACCACTTCTCGAGGAAAGTGCCATTCCAGGGGCGGTCAAACCAGGTAGGGTGAGGCGCAAACACAGTCTTGAAGCCATGGAGAAGCGCGACAGTCTGAGGGGTCATCTCCGACGCAATGTGGTTGCCGCGAAGATTCTCAACGTGCATGATGTCCAAGAGACGCTTGGAGACACGAGATTGGGTGACAATTGTGGTTCGGCGGGGAAGGGTCTTTGCAGGGTCGGGGAACTTTTCGTCTCTGTAACCCCAAATGTGGTCCGAGATGATCCAGCTGCTGTTGATCGGGTTGAAGATGGGGCCGACAGTGATCATGTCCGCGTCCTCGCCAACTCCCCACTTGTACGGCTCCTTCTCAGGGTTTTCGACAGGAGGCTTAGGGCCGACGGGGTTGATGAAAGGCAGCTTGGGCGGGCCCCAGATCTGGTTGCCGCGGGTGCGCTGCTCAACGTCCTTGCGGAAGTCGGTATCGTAGTCTCCGTGGAAATCGGGGATATAGTAACGCTCGTTACGCTCCCACAAACCTCTGCGGGGCTGCTTCTTGGAGAAGTCGGAGAGGCGCTTCAGGAAGTCGTAATTGTGGCCGATAATTCTAGCGTCCATTTCCCAGTTCCAGATGAAGTCAAACTCGGGGTGGTCCTGACTGAACTTCTGCACCGACAACCACTGGGCAGAGTGTACACTCTTTTCGTTCTCGTCGGTAAGTGCCGTGTACAAGTTCCACATAGCCTGGTCGTTCCATAGCTTGGTAATGCCGTGGAACTCGAGAGGCACATGCTCGTTGAGCACGTACTGGTACGTGGCTTCGTCGTTCCAGATGTCGAGAGCCTGGTCGCGAACGTGCAGTAGCAGGAAAACCTGGTACTCCCCGCCGGATTTGAGCGAAAGCTCAGAAATGAGAGAGCGAATGACCTGCTTGTCGTTCTCGGTGTACTTCTTGCCGGTGTAGGTTCGAAGGAGGACAGCAGTACGGGCATCGGGAGTCGTCACCTTGGCGCCCTTGGACCCGCCCCTGAACTTGTTGGTAAGGCCTCGCTTCTCGTTGGCCTCCTCTTCCTCCTCGACCTCTTTGCCATACTTCTCAGCGATGTCAGGGTAAGCAGTCTTGATGTATTCGTTGGGCTTGCCCTCGTCGAAGCGGGCAGCGTTTCTCTCGATGCACTTCTCCTGGAGGTCGCCCCAGTTGATGTTATCCCAGTCAATGCGAAGACCGGCCTTGCTGAGTTGAGGAAGAAGACCGTAGGGTCCGAGTCTGGTCTCGCGCTCGTAGCAAATGTTGCCGTCCATGTCCAGGACGTCGAAACCACCGAAGCCCGGGTTGGGAAACTTCGCAGGATGACCCTTGAAGACCAAGAGATCATCGACGGTCTCTCCAGTCGCGCCAATGCAGGGCACATGGGGCGCGCGATGTGTCTTGTTCCATTCTTCGCTGTTGTAGTCGGGGTAGGGGTTGAAATAGACTGGTCGCTGGTTGGTGTAGGCCTCCTCCTGCGTGCCAGACTCACGGAGGTTGGCGGCGTGCTCGGCGGTCCTGTTTTCCTTATCCTTCAGAGAGTTAAGTGTGTTTCCGTAAATCGCATCATTGCCGGGAAGCCTGTAAAGTTTAAAATGTCAGTCTCTCCTGCATGCGTGACAGCTGACGTTCCCGCACTCGGGCTTGCCAGGAGGGCACGTACTTCTTGGCAGCTTCATACTCCCGCGCGAACTCGTCTCGCAGATCTTGCTCGTGCTTTTCTCTCTCTTGCTTTTGTCTCTCCTCATCCTGCTTCCTCTCCTCTTCCGACTTTGGCGGTTCAGGAGGTGCGGCCTTTTCGGGGGGTGGAGAGGTGCCGTCTTGGTTCCAGGGGACGACGTGATAGCCGGCAGGAGCGCCGCGTGTGGCCAGGAAGTAGACGGTGACAATTGCCAGAGCGAGAAAGAGCAACGTCTTGGGGCGGGCCCTCGGGGCGATGAAGCCTCTCGATGATTGTTGTTTGAGCATGGTCAACATGGCCAGCGCGGCAGCGGCAAGCGGCGGCGGGCGGCGGTCGACTGGGGGTTATTAAAGAATCGGCAGTCCGTTGTGAAAAAAAAGGTGCTGATCGAACCAGGCGATTGGGTATAGGTTACGGTTGGAATGTTTGCCGCGACGCTATAGAGGCATGCTGCGGCGGTCGGGAAAACACACAACCAAAGGAATGACGACCCGAAGAGCTGGTCTTGCGAAGTATGAAAGGAACGTGGTGAGTTCTCGCGCGCCTCGCAAAACCCAATCGAGAAGAAACCTGGCTCGAACGACAACAACGCTGCAGTGTGAGCGGGACCTGTTATGGGGGCTTGGCGAGATTGGATAAGACTCGTTGATTAGGTAGAGAGTGACACGGCTCCTATCAAAGGAGACCCAGTTGGGAGTTTTTTCGGGGGGTGTGGTGCAATGGATCGGACGGGGGGCGAGTAGGTAGCCCGGGGGGGGGGGGAGGGAGGAAGAGACAGAAAAGTCTAGACTGGAACACGCCTCTCTCCGCAAAATCCAGGTGAGATCTGAAGTGAAACGAAGACAATGTCGACGGTTGTGGTTGTTGCTATTGCCGCGATTGCAGGGGTTTTTTTTTTCCTACCAGCAAGAGCCAGATAGGGGAAGAAAGGAGAAGGAGTGGAAGGCAAGTGGAAGGAGGGAGAGACGACTACGACAATGACAGCGGGTGCCAGGACTGAGGACTCAGGAGAGAGGACGTCGAGTCGAAGCTCTGGGCAAAGAATAGTGGGCGGGAAGGACAGGAAAAGGGAAGGCGCACTAACTAGGCAAGAGGCAGGAGGATCATGGAAGGGGAAGCAAGGAAGTTGGGAAAAAAGAGGAAAGGGCCACCGCCAATCGAGTTGCTCCGTTGCTTAGAGACGCAGGGTACGTCTCATAAGGTACAAGAACGATGTGGGATTTAAATTGGATAAGAAGGAACGATGTACATACAATCGGCTGCCTACTCTCTTTCCCTCACTTCAAGGAAGGCACGTAAGCACGTAAGGTACTTTGGTCTAAAATGTACCTCTAGGTCAGGTATCTCAAGGGGCTCCCGCGGATATCTGCAGATAAACCGCGTACGTCGCCGCATGCACATTGCAACACGCAAAAGGAGACAGACAGCAGCGAGCCAACCAACCAAGTCATAAACTGACGAATCCGACCATCCTCCGAGTCGGATGCAGATCGCCAGTTACGTGAGATAGTGGCCACCGTCCACCTAATTTCTAAAAGAGGGACGCAAATGCCGCCCACCAGTCCTCCCTGAGTCCCTCCACCTCTTGTTGGCAAGAGGATTGGATGGGAATCAGGTCCTGGCTGCTGGCGCCGGCACCCGGCAATCAATCCATCACACAAGACTCAGGTCGCGCGGGATAGGCGGGACCGTTGTGGTCACAGTTGGCATGGATATACGGTATGACGGACTTTTTCTTCATTTTCTGCCCAGACATCTCTGCCAGGCTCCAGTGCCATTCGGCAAGCGACACTAACAGAAAAAAAAAAAAAAAAAGGGGAGAGCCAAGTTCGGACTGGACTCACTGGAGCCATATCGAAGCACTTTAATCGCAATCGTCCCCATCCACGATGCCTTACAAATTGACACACCATAGCGGTAGCTGGCAACGCGCCTTATGTTTCGCCGGTTAAGCCAGCGATCAGTGGATGTCTCAATTTCAAAAGGGTGATTGCACCACGACACCTCATCTTGTTCCTCTTGTCCTGCATCCAGCTGACGGTGTTGTTGCTGCCCGGGCGAGACAAACGACAAAAAAATTCAAAATACAAGACGACAAAGAAAGCCACGCGTTCGACCTCGATGCCGAGTCATCAACCAAAGGTGCCGCGCCGTTGGTCCTGTTTCGCGAACAAAGAGCAAAGTGACCTTCGCCGAAGGCGACTTGATCGAAAATTCTGGCCAAAAGTTGAACGCCCTGAAAGTCCGGTGTTGGCTTGTTTCTCTTCCCTGACCAATCCAAGCCGCATTTTCTTGGCTACGCTGCGAAACCAGGAACGGCACCAAAAAGTGGCACTTCCAAAACCACGCTAGTCCCGAGCTCTCCTTTCCCTGACACCCCTGTCGATCCGAGTTAATCGCCTTTTTCTTCCAAAGTACCGAGACACTCAATTTCGTGCGTTAAGATACCTTGTCGGCTCAGCTCGCCCCTTACGCTGAAAAAGCACTTTACACGTGCCCTGCCGCTGCCGGATATCCTACGCGTCTTGGCTGCTTCAGCGAGGGGAAGTGAGGAAAGCCTTGCAAACGACGAGGCAAAGATGGCAATTACGTTCGGATACCGCACCAATAAGGAGGAGAAATGCGACGTGTAAGGGGATACCAAGTTTCTCGAAGGGAATACGCGGAGACTTGAACGGGTCCAATTGTTCCCGCTCATCCTTAACTGTGACACCGAGTCACTAATAAAGACGACCGACTCGGCTCGAGGAGTGGGAGAGGTAGCTGAAGAAGATCTTCACGTTCTCTGCCCGTCCAAGAAGGTGCCAATGAATGTCATTGTCTCCAGAGAGGACCACATCACACAGACACCCGCAATGGACAGTGCCCTCTGCCTCACACTTTGACCTTGCATCAGCAGAGCAGAAAGTCTGTGCTCTCGAGACCAAACCAGCATAACTGCGCGCGATTTTGAACCCTTCGATACTTCTTCCATTGCAGTCTTGCTCCGATGGCTTCCGAAACAAAGACGCACGACATAACCACTTGCCTACGGTCTACCGCAGCGAAAGGCAAGGAGGGACCGGCTGCAGTCTGCAGGTGACTTGCGGCTGTGGGCGCAGGGCGAGCGCTCTTATCTCGAAATCGCCAACACTTCATTTCCATCAATGAGAGACGTCGGGAAAGAAAAGATTGATGGGGGAAAAAGAAACTTCCCAATCAAACCATCGCCAGACCTCACGTATCATGTCTAACAACCGCGGCAAGAGAAGAAATAACAACGTCCCCATATCCACCACCATCCGCCAAAACCATCTGGCTAACAAACACGGGCGCTCTGCTTTGTCTTCCCCTTACCTTGCCAAGTTGTCAGCAATTCGCGTACCGCCGTCACGTTCATCCAACAGCGTCTGGCATTCTATCCTCTCCTGTCCGACCACGTTGACTTCCTGGCGTATGTGTCGACGCTCGACAGCCTCAGAAGGAGCGAGAGGCCCGCCATCCATCCGTCTGACGTCCCATCCACTCTTTCTATTTCCATCCAGCAATGCGGGCTCTCCACGGAACACCCGCTCGCAGTGAAACCCAGCCGGGCCACTCTCAACCAGACGAACCACTGACACTGTTCTCTGTACGGACACGCCGTACGCCAGAATGTGATCGGCCTGCGCGACTCGGATTGTCTTTCAACCGTGCGAAGTACCCAGCGCACGATGCCAGCCTCATCAACCCTCGACACTAGCCACTCTTCTTGAAACAACCTCCTGGTGGAGCACGACATTTCCTCAAAACTGGAAGACTCCACCAGCTTTCGACATGGAAGTACTCCGTACCTACCTACTTGTTACGGCACCTTACATGATTACTTAAGCCTAGGACAATGGACTTTAGAGCTTCTGAATGAAGCTATCACGAAGACGGATCTCCTGCTTACCTCGAAATGAAAGCCCACTGACCATCGAATGAACAACAAAGTGTGGAAGGTACAAATATGCCAAGCTTTCTGTGCTACCATATGTAGACGCTGTCCAGTCTGCTTTGAGACGTATCCCTTGCCCGCCCATACTCCTTCGTTCTATTTCCCATCCAAGGTGTTGTCAACATGGGAAATGCCCAGCCCTCGAGATTTATTCCTCAGATCAGGAGTGAGGGTATGAGTCTTCAGAATACAGCGACGCCTCAACGATGTACGTGAGTCTTTACAAGATGCCCTCCCAGCGTCCTCTTCCGCGTGAACTGTAATTGTACGTCCCACCCCCATCAGCCTGTTCATCTAATGAAAAGAGCCGCCTTGATAGCTATGAGTCGAGACCTATCCGTTGCAACATTCAGGTATATATGGGAAGAAGTTGGGAGCCGGGGCCAATGTTCAAGTTGACGAGATCGGTAGAGGGCGCGAGTTTAAGATGACGCACAACGAGGCGGAATGAGAGCTTCTCAACTTGCATCGCAGCACATTGGCAGCATCCGGTTTCTTTATACTGAAGAATAGTATGTTTTGATCATGGCTGGTATTTGTATACGACGTGCATACAAATAAAGAGTCACGAGCCGAGACTGCGTCATCGCCAGTCGGTCGGGCTTTGGAACATTCACATGCAACACAAACTTTTGACACATGGTTAAGATATTGACTCAAGAATGATCTTTTTCTTGGGGCTTGCTACGGGTTATGGTCTCAAAACCGGCGAGCCTCTTTCGATGGCTAGCTATGTACAAGCACTCATGTGCAACCCCATCGCCTGCAAGGTACTTCCTCTGCTCCTTTTGCCATGCAATTCGGAATGTCTCCAACGTTACAATGGCTTCCCCTTTCCTCAAGAGCTTCTGTGAAGCTCATGCTCAAAACGAAGACGAGCCAAGCGCGTCGCCCGATGCAGGTATCAACAGAGTCCACAAAGGACTGGGTATATAGAACTCTAGATGGCAAACAAAAAATGAAGTGTATGTGGTGGATTGAGATGAGGTTTTTGTGTCGTGGTCGTAAGCGTGTCGTGAGGTATTAAAATGCATTGTAAATGATGATTTCATATACGACGAAGCGAATGTTGGTCGGAAAGAATCCGGGATGGCATTCCTGGCGGTTTACATCATTCCGAGTCTCGTCATGCGCTTGTTCATGGTAGGCGGCATAGGCGGTGCAAGTCCGGCCCCGGGACCCATTCTCTGCCCGCGAGGAAGACCAACTGGTGGTCTCATGCCGGACTGTCCGTTACTGGGTCGACGGCCACCTTGTCCGGGAACACCGAGGCCACCAGGGGAGCGTCCTCGTCGCTCCTCGTTGATCATTCGAGGCGGCGGTTGCATGCGGCGCCAGGCGTCCTTTTCGCAGTATGATCTGCCGTTAACTTCGAAGTAGCCGTTTGACAGAGACATCCCGCAGTCGCCGCAGCGGAAGCAACCGACATGGTACTTGATGCGTTCTTCGTCTTCGAGGTACTGGCCCTCAATGCCACGTCTGCAGGAGCCACACAAGCTGCCGTTGAGCTTGTGATAATGGTTACCACAGTAAGGTTTGTCGTTGAGAACGTAGAACTCCGCTGAAGAGAAGGGCTCGCGGCATGTTGTGCAGACGAAGCAAGCCTTGTGGTAGCGTCCGGTGAGACGGCCGTCTGAGGATGAAATGCTCTTGCCAGTGATGGCGTCGCCGCAAGACTTGCAGTTGCCTCGCGAGGGCCGGTTGCGGGGTGGAGATGAAACGCTGCGCTGATCGCTGGCTTGACGTTCATGTTTTTGATTGTAACGACCCATGGGGTTACGGTCCATGGGGTTGCGACGGTCGTAGTCCGGTGTCGCAAGTGGCGATCTCGCACGGGGTCTGCCTCCTTGAACAGCTGGATCATCTCGAAGGTCCACAGATGGCGGTGCACGACGACTCGAGTACGGGTTCGCCAGCGGTTTCTGGAGTGGTGGCGGCATACCAGGAGACTTCATAGCCTCCATGGAAGACTCAATGTCGTTCATCAAGTTGTCAAAGTTGGTCACGTCTGACGGGTTCCGACGTCCTCGTGGGTTCGCCGGGCTGGACTGTGAGCTGCTCTGGGAACTGGCTTGGCGACCGTGGCTGAACATGGACGCTCCGGACGACGTAGAAGCGGAAGGAGTGTGATACGGGTTCGATGAACCAAACTCGCTCGCTAGGTCCACTTGGGGCGCACCATCCCTTCCAGATGTCGTTGGGCGCAGAAGACTCGTTCTCGGCGGCGGCGCTCTCGACGTGTCGGGGCCCATTGAAATCTTCCTCTCATGCTCTCCGCCGTTCGGCTGTCCTCTAAGCCTGTCAGATCGGGTGGGAGGCGCTGAAGGCGTTCTCAGAGGCGGCTCAATAGGTTCGCTAGGTCGCGGGAAAGTGCCTGCGCGGCTAACATAGGTTTCGGGTTCGATATCTTCGGGGGTTGTTCCTGGCGGTCCAAATCCTCCATAACCATTCTTTCTTGGTAGTCTCGGTGGCGCAATACCGCCAGCGTTGCTGCTTCCAGAAGACATGAAGGAGTTGTTGGACGCTGAAGTCAGTGGCCGATCATTTGTGATGTTGTCATCCGGAGTCAAAGAATCCTGTCTCGAGGGGGCGAAAGCGTTCTTTGTTGCTCCTCTTCCTCCCGCTCTCCTGCCCATCTCGAAAGGCCCCGGTGCGATTGTGTTCATACGCTGGAGAAGACTTGGCGCTTGCTTCTTTTGTTCGCCTGGGTACATCTGTTCAGAACCGTAGTCATCCCCATCGTCGAATGCCCCGTATCCTCCAGGTCGTCGAGATTGCTGGCTTGAGTTGTAGTCGTTTGCGATTTGCGGTTGGAAATAGTCGTCGTTGCGGCCCATAGCCTGGCTGTTCGGTGTCTTGGGTGAGATGCTGATTGAACCAGTCGATGTGCTTATTGGTGTTAATTGCCCTTGCCGCGAGTACGGGAGATCTACTTCAGTTAGCCAACGACGCGCGAGGAGTCCAGATGGGTTTATCGGCATACTGGCGGCACTAGTATCTAATGTTGGAGGTGCCATGCGTCCGTACTTGTTGTCCAACGGCGGCGGCTGATCATATGAGCCCAGGCTCTCTGGACGATCAGGCGGCGCCGATGCTGTAAATAATGTGAGCATGACTCTGCGAGAGATTTCGAGTGAGTGTGAATAGCTTACGCTCTGCTCCTGGGCCGCCGCAGACGTGCTCACCCATCATGGAAATTTCCACATCGAGGCCGCATGACGAGCATTTGATGGCCGGCATAAAGCTCGACTCCCTTGGTAAGGCCATTTTGGCTAGTGATCCTGTTGTCCTTCTTGCAAATACACCCAAACTCTCCGGGTTTTCACTAAAAGTAGGTCGTCTGTGTTCCCATGCACATTTGAGGCCGCATCAAGCTGATTTCCGTAGGCGCGATCTGCAATCCCAATGCGGATGTGGCGGAAGAATAAGAGGTTGCGGACGGGGCAACGGGGGCAGGACGGCTCTTGAGTGTTTCTAGAAAGCGAGAAAAGGGCGGCAGTGACGTGAACTGACGTTGTCCCTGGAAGTTTAATGGTGGTGGGACGCACGATCGCGCCTTGTTTCCAGCTTAAGATCGGAAACTATGTGGATTTGCTGTGACGGGGTGGTGGACGACTGGAACCCCCGTTGCAGTTTGCAGGCGGACTCCTAGGCGCGGGTGTGAGCGGTGTATGGGTAAACCGTGAGTGATGTTGAGGTTGAGCGTGTGACCCAAGCGGTGTCTGAAGGTCTTTCTTTTTGAAGGCGGAGCGCTTCTGCAGAGTCGCACGAGTCCCGGGATCTTGGTTGCTGTCAAGGATACAATGTTGGAGCGTGTTTTGGGACCAGCGCAGCTGTGAGGAAACACGAGCTCCAAGTAAGTGAGTGAGTGCACAGTCGAGCCTCGAGGGTGTGAAAGACTATGTGCTATTGCTGTTGTAATGGTAAGAGATGGAAACGGGACGGGATAAGCTGGTCTGAGAATGAGTCGCTTGGGGAAGAGATGTTGCGTCTCACGTCTCGAAGTTGGGAAGAGGGTGTCGGGGCATTTGGTGGATTTGGGGAGCAAAGGAGACGTCCATGAGCGTCTCAGGGCCAGTAAAGAAAGGCGACCCCTGTTCGTGGTGTGGGTGGTCAGAGAGAAGCACAGACAGTGGCTGTCGAGAGAACCCCTGGCGGCCTTGTCCGGCCCATGCCAGGTTGGGCCTGGCGGTTGACGAGCATCAAGCAGGGATCTGGGGTGTTTGCATGGTGCATCTCTCTGTGCGCAAAGGATAGAGCTGGGTCCGGATGGAGAGGAGGGGCGGAGAGAGGCACACACAGAGACACCTATGCGTGGACTGGAAGATAAGTACTTAGGAGTAGAGCGAGGTTTGATGTGATGGAGAAGTGTCGGAAGGACTACAGTTCTTACCACCTTGACTCCTTGAATACGACTGAGACTGAGACGGAGACAATGGTGATGTGATGTGATGTGATGGGTGCTTGGAGACGAGGAGAACACTGGGAGAAGAGACGAGACGAGGAGAGGAGGGGCACAGCTGCAGCAGACACATCATCGAGGGATTTGCGAGGATTTACAGTCCTTGCTCATTGTTTAGGCTTTAGACGACTGGTCCATGTCGAGGATCAATCGTGACAGTGGGATTGCGCAAGGAGCAGACTTGTTCACCTGCGACAAGAGGGACAGTCATAGACGGGATAGAATGAGAGGAGAGACGGGCAAAGGGTCCAATGTCCGATGGCATGCCGCGTGCTGCGTGCAACGGGGTTTGACTATGATGAAGGGTTCAAGAGGTGGTGCTCCTCTTGTCCTTAGAAGTTAGACGTAGACCAGATAAATTGTCATAGATGAAAAAGATGAGAAAAGGGACCTGGAACGGCGCGGGGTGGATCAACAAACCACGGCGTTCTTACCCTGCAGAGGCAATCATCCTTTCTAGATTCTCTCTCACCTGCATACTACAGCTTTTGCCTTGCCCACATTAGGGAGGAGTAATCAACTCTGACTATGGTGATTGGGACAAGTACTTCGCAGTATGTAAGGTATGGACTCATGGAGTGACCTGTCCCCAGTGCTACCGCATTCTGAGGGAAGAAAGAACAAGGCAGAACCAAGGCAGGCCGCACGCGATGCAGGCGATGGGCAGGCCAGCGATGCCACATGGGGAGGATGATGACCGCCTTCCCCAGTGTTGGCTCGTTTCAGGTCCTCTTCCCAGCAATCTACAAGCAACAATGAAGGGCAGGCTGGCAGCGGCGGATGGGACAAAAGGCGCTGTTCTGCCGCATGCGAGCATGCCTCATCCCTCGTCACTTCACTCAAGCTGAGGGTCGGAGAATTGTTCATACCCTTATTTTTGTGTGAGTGCATATACATTGTACTAAGTTCAGTATGGACGCACACCTCAGGTGAGGCCGCAATCATGGTGATACCTGCCTCGGAGTCCCCTAATTATCGAAGGTGCGGGATGCTACGGGAAACATGGCATCCATACTGGGAGCTACTATCCGTAGGCACACTAGTCGCGCAATAAGCCCACTCATCCATCTATATCCAGTCCATATTTAGAGACTGATGCAACTCAGCATGAATATGTTTTTTTCGGAATCCGGCGACGTATGTATCTAAATATGAATGATGCCGTTCGGGATAAGGTGGGAGCGATGTGGGAGACACGGGACCGATGACAGATGAGTCGATGACTGTCGAGCCGTTGCGCAAATGTATGTATCCGTAGCATTGACAGTGACGGAAAAAGAAAGGAGAAAGAAGCATTTGCGGATTCTACCAACTTCCCGCCCGGCTCGAATGGGCGACGAATACGACCTCGTCCTAATAGGGTTGTGTTCATCTCTGCCAAATTTTACTCAACACGAACGGCATTACCCAAAAGAGTTTGCTGCGTTCTGGCCTTGCAATCGAACCCTCCTTTTCTCTTCATTGCTGTGGTTCCTTCCAACTGTTGGAGAACCTAACGTAACGTGCCTTATTTATCGACTGACCAGTCACATTGGAGAATACTGAATGCAACAGTAATTACCTACCCTCTTGGTTTTCTCTCGCTCTTTCTCTCTCTGTCGCCTCACGCGGGATGGGATACCTAAGGTACCTAAGGTACAAACCCGGGACAGTTCCTTCCCGCTCCAACTTTGCACTTTGCAGGGCAGTCACCAGTAGTGTGCACTTGCTCTTTCCAGGTTCGTACCTGCGGCCAGTGAATTGGAGGGCCGGGTACCTTGCAGAACAAGTCGGTGGGGCCTCGTGGCCTCCACTGTCCTCCAGAAGCCTATCGTTGCTAGTGGCTTTGCTTCCCCTGGCTAAACGGGCATTAAGAGCCAGCAACAGGTAATAATGGCCGGGCAATCCCACTCCGCCGTTATTAAGGTCCGGTCCATTCGCCTTAGTCACCGCAGGCAATCACCACTGGGCCACTCTTCGTCCTTCCTTCCACCGTTCCTATCAAGCAGGAGCAGGGCAGGAGCAGGAGAGGAGGTGGATCTTTCCCGACGTGGGAGGTTTCCATTCTGGACTCCACACCGCTTAATGACATGCAAAAAAATGACTGCAACTGGCACTGCTGGCTGACACTGACCGCGACTCCTGGTCTTCACTGCAACTGCAAGATGCGACCTGACCATAGGTAGGCGTAAAGTGCGAACCATATCGGCCCGCAACTCTGTCGGTTATTGTCTGCGCTTTTGGCGGCTTCCGTCCACCTGCCTCCGCCTCGTGCTTGGGACTTGGTGCCATCGACAAGCTCACGCTAGGAACTCTCGATCGTCAACGCTACTCCAGAGGTCCAGGGGCCTGATCTCAAGCTCGTCCTTCATCGTCGTCATTTGCCTTGCGCTCGTTCATCCATCACGTCCGTCACGCTCTGTTGCCAAAACGGCGGTTCGCTGTCATGACTGTCAGTCAGGCTGTCATCACTCGCCTCTACTCAACCGCCAAGCTGTCACATATCAAACCACGGGCCTTTTGCACCGGCGAAGGCGAGCCATCAAAGCCCAAACATTGTCCTCAATGATCAACCTTAGCGACGTTGCTGTTGCTCGGCCTTGGACTATATCAGCCTCTTTTAGCCGTCTCAGTCGTCGTGGAGACAGACAAGTCATCGCTGAGCCCTCCATGCCCAGACGCGTGTCATTGGAGCACCCAAACGTGAAAACTCTGGTTCACGTCATCTCTGCTAATAAGAGGCCCGGTTCAATCAGGCTGCGGTTTTCGACTTGCAAACTTTCAGCACCGGCTGCCCGAAGAGGTACGGCGCTCATAACTGGGCATTGCGTAGCATGGAATGTGGCCGCATTGTATGGAGAGCTATCGGTATTGAGCAATGCCCCCCGAAAACTGCGACAGCGGCTCCAATGCCAATGCACCCACGCGCCCGTTGGATCAACCGCCAAGCGGCATCCAGTGGGTGAAGTGGGCACTCTTCTCCGCCGCTTCTCGGTCCAGGCTCCAGAAAATGCAGAGCATTTGGACCCGGGGTTGAACGGAGCCAATATTTGTCGTCAGACGGTGTCTCTCGGGGGGGGGGGGGGTCTGCAGCAGGTTCCCGGCTTTTCCATGCACTCGCGGCTCGCCTTGCCATGCTACTGCTATGCTACCTTTTTCTTCAGGGAATCGCCCATCACACCGCACTTTAGCTGCAGCTCCAAGCCGCGTTGGTAGTTGCCCAAGTTTGCACTAACGCTTCGGATTCTCTAACGCGCTGTGCTCACTTCCTGGCGCCCTGCTGCCCTACGCCTGGCGGCCGGGCCGTACTATAGAAGGTGACTTTTCCTCTCGGTCCTTGGCGATACAATGGTTCAGCGCCACACAGCTCTTGTGCTCCAGCTGCATAGCTCCAGTAGCCCGCATGGAGCTCTTTCACGGCTAGGGCAGGCACTGAATGAGACCGAAATCTCTGGTTCACCATCCAACGAACTCACTGGTCTGGACTTTCTGCTCTGACCACCCACCCAGTCTACCCACCCCTGACCTGGTTCCACCTCATCCCAAGAGAGGCTCCCTGTCTGCTCACTGGCTGATCATCGGCTTCAGTGCTATTTCCTCTGGCCAAATTCCAGATTGTCGAGCATCGACGGCATCAAATCAAGACGCACGAAGCTGGGCAATTGAGAACGTCACTGGTCACAGTGGAGGTTCATCTCAGTACCTTTGGGGGCCCCTCACCGTCATCTGACAGATCTTCGGCGGCAAATGAGACCTGCCATTATCGAATTCGACGGCTATGAGTTCTGCCCCTCGTGGAGCCTTCTTAGACGCCGTGCGGGAGATGACACTGGCCTAGAAATCGCACTTGGCCACTTGTCAAAGGCCCGCTCTTGAACTGCTCGTCATTTGGATCGTCTCAGATCTGGTCAAGCGGGAGTTATTGCGTCCAATAATTCATAATCGGCCCAATTGCTATCACGCGAAATCAAAACCGCTGGTCTTGGAAGCAGGCCGCATTTTCTAGTGCAAACAACCTCGTACCAGAGGATGAATATAGCGCCTAACGGTGGTGCTAAATACAGCACCGTCGATTACCGAATCCAAGGCGCGACGCGACACGATCCGAGACCCTTTAATCATCACGTCTTTCTAGAAATCATGGAGAGCTCGCGTGACACTTTAGCTCGTTTCCGCAGAAACCCCCTATTGAGTGCAGCGCGGGAATATATCGTCGGGAATGCGGCTTTCAGGTGGCCACACCGACTAATACGGTCAGCGGCGCAGCCTGTCTACTATCAATCATTGCCAGCCTGTCTGTATCTTGGATAGTTCGCTGATGAGGATCTCCAATCAGTGGCCTATCGCTCAGATATCGGTTCCTTCCCCCTTTTCCCCATCACCCGAGACTCGTCTCTTAGAACTCAGCCAGACTTTCCCGAAGGCGACGGGAACCAACAGCAAGAGGTCCGTAAAGAGAAACTCACGCATTGAGTCCGTGGCTTGGCGTACTCAGCAACGCCCCCAAACGAGATGTCGAGATGAAATCGAGTCAGGCGGCTCAAGGTCTAACTACTCCTCGCTCCGAGCGCTAACCCCTCGACTCGAGACGTCGGAACATGGACACAACCTGATGCCGTCTCGCCTCTCCGTTCAGTCCAGAGTTACACGTCTCTGTTGAGCGGTACGCTGGCATACCCCTGTATGTTTCCAAAACGTGCGGAACACATTTCAGATCTTCGAACTTGCGACCGTGACAGGCTGATCCTCTACATCGTCGTTGCGTTGCAGACCGCCCATATGCTGCACCTTGCGTGCAGATCCAATCGTGCCTGAGTCGTTCCTAGGTCAAGACCGTCTAAGGCGTTTCGCGAGACGCAAAAAGAATCGACAGAAGCTTTTGTTGGAAATGGCAAAATTTAATATCGACGTTGGCCTGATTCGAACAGACGCTCCCGAAGGAACAAGATTTCTAGTCTTGCGCATTAGACCACTCTGCCACAACGCCGGGTCATTGGATAATTTCCCCCGTCGAAAGCTGCAATAAGAACGCCAGAGACTTTGGCCCTCTCCATTGGAGATGACCCCACCGACTGCTCATCGCTGCGGGGCATCCAGACGTGCCTTCCGTCGACATGCTTCATCCGAATGACGATCAGGTGGTGTTTGAGGATGCGCTTGACCTTTGACTTTTGCTGATTTGCGTTAATGTAAGCAATCTTATTTTCCGACCTGCTGTAGGTTGTTTCCATCGCCCTATGGCAGAAGGAGTTTAAATTGACGATGTGATGGCTGGCTGTTTGCCAAAGAGCGGGATCAAGAGTTTGGGGTTGTTGGTGTGTTCTCGGACTCTGCTATAGTTCCGCTACCTTACTGCCCACGTCCAAGTTGGATACTTTATGCAATTGTTAGACTTTGGTTTTCTTTTGGCGATCTGTTTTGGAAATTCCGAGAGGGAAAGTTTTGGAGTGATTGAATCATACTGATTAGCTTCCGGTAGCTTGCTTAACTTTGGGTGCTGTTCATCGCAGACGAGCCAGTCGTCGTTGGGGGTTGGCGATGAGGTGTTCGAGGACGAGGTCGAGGCGGTTCCTTTGATTTTGTTTCCGATACTCTGTGCTTGCATCTCTGTTTGTCTAGACAACAGAGCTTGTAAAATGCTACCGTAAACCCGCCTGTCATGGCATGTAGGCAAATAGCGGTGTTGGCGTCTAGGTCGGCCACCTCTTTGTGCTCGATTTGTGTTATGGAGAGACATGCTTCCACATACATCGTTCCCCCTATGGCGAACAGTCGCATACTTAGGTGAATTTAGAGTGCACGCATCGGTGTGAAGAATCTTACCACATCAGCTTGTGCGTGGTTCATTTTGAAATTTCCATTCCGTGTGCTGCGAATGTCTTTACGTGTCTTTTCCCGCTTTTGATACGATGGAAATTGCTTAGCTGGATGGTGGCTTTCTCGGGTTCTCGAATCCCAGCTGTGTCAGAATACTGTCCACAGATTTCAGCACGCCAAAGAGGGTGTCCAGAGTTCAAGGTCCTGCCAATTTGGCAGTACGACAACGAGATGGGTGTTTAGTTGTCGATGATGACCCGCCCTTTCTTGCTCGTGCTTTTTTCGAAGAGACGCACCTACTTGACGTGGCGCATCACCTTTAGTCCACCAATGAAGCTGAAAGTTATCCCTCTGGTTATATCAGCCCCTTTCTTAGTATTCTGGGACTATGACGGCTGAATCTTCTTGAAGGTACGTAATGTAGATATAAAAGGGAGCCGAGTTGCGGCCAAAGCAAGACCGCTAGAAGCCAACCAACGTGATGTTGAGCCAATTCTAGCACAGCCATTGTCAACACAAGCCAGCCTGTTGCGATGCCCGGGACAGATGTATAAGCAGTCTTTATCCCCTTGATTATAGCAACAGTGGACGGAGTACCGCCGATTCTTGTTGACGAATTTACGCTCATCCACATTATCATAAGCGCCTCGCCAGAGTTGTTGTCGGTGATCTGCATATCGATTTCGTACTCGTCGGGTAGCATACCCGGACACATCAGTGGAGAACCAGAAATGTAGAGGTCTTGTCTCTCGCCTGCGGATGTCCGTCTCGGGCTAGCGCTTATACGCTGTGTTATATAGAGCTAATAGGTAAGAATGGTCTGGGCCAAAGTGACTGGGCTTTACTTTAGGTGTTGTACTGGTGTTGTATATGTGGAAGGGTACGGGCAGTGTCACGAGAATGGTAACCTAACTTGTGTGTCCCCCTTTTATGAGGCCGTCAAGAGGGTTTCTGCTTGGAAAGGGGTCCAAGTGTCTTTTGGTGCTTGTTCATGGTCTGTCTAGCGTCTAATGTCAAGTATAACGACCATCGATGTCTCCATAGGTTCTGCCTCTCCTTCATTTTGACGAGAAACCTTCCGATCGTTCTACTTTTGTTTCCATGTTTCTTGCTCTTGATAGACCGAGGCTCATTTAGCTGCAGCCATGATGACTTGTTTTACCTTCGGGAGTCGCTGATACCCGATGGAGATGGCACGTTGAAGACATGATTTTCTTTCGTAGCGTCATCAGAGGTTTCAATGTTCGAGCGATAGGGATCTATCAAGGTGATCTATCAAGGTGATCTATCAAGGTGGGAGCTTTTTATCGTTGAGTACGAGGAGAAGTCTCTATATCTGTCGGGAAACCTTCGTCATGTTCAACGATGCTGTTGGGTCAGGAGCTGCTCAAGGTCACACAAAAGATCATTCACCGTGAGGTGAAGTTGCGAAATATGATCTGGACAAACTCGACGATGGCTTCTGGTTAGGGTCATGATGAATTAGCTTAGGTGTCTCGCAGCACCGGCAAACTGCGACATCGTCTCCTTATTCCCCGTATGAGTAGCCAGACGGGCTCGTGTTTAATTGCTGAACGATGTAGTAGATTCAAGAACTATGGGACTACTGGAAGGCTTCTAGCAATATGTTTGCTTGTCTAAATTTATCATTTGAAAGCTGAAACTACTCGCACTGAGAGATGAGCACCCTGGCGTCCTTGTTCCTGCAACACGTTATGGTTTGGTAGACATACAGGTTCAACTTCCAGAGCTTATCGACATTGACCTCACCGCGCTTCGCCATCTTCTCGCTCCTTCCCCCGAACATCCTCAAACTCTCAAACGTGAGAGACGAAGGGGTGCAGCAGCAAAAGACGCCCGCGTCCTTGGTGATCACAATCGACGTCTAATTCCCAACCCTTCGGGCATCCGTCTCATGCGGCTCATAAGTCGGTTCATTATCTGGTGCCGCATCCGGGCTCCGATCATCTTTGTGCCACGGATCATACTGTTTCGCAATGGCCATTTCCCTGCTCTGCTCAGTCCACTCTTCGTGAGTCGGGTACCGCGCCGGCTCTGCATTCTTCTGTATCGTCTCTTCGAGCGTCGGGTATCGCTCCGGCTTTGCATCCTTCTGCTCTGGCTGCTTCGGCATCGGCTCGATATTCACCTCCGGCTCGGGTTTCGGCTCGAGCTTCTTCTCCGGCAGCTTGAAGGGGTTCTTCTTGGGCATCTTGAACGGGTCCCTGTGCGGCCACGACCGGAACGGGTTTCTGTCCTTGAAGGTGTTTGGGTCGTTGGGCGGGACCCTCCATTTGGGGTTCTTGAACGGGTTGTCCGGCCTGGGCCGAGGCTGCAGCTTGCCAAACTTGGGGTTATATTCCCGAGACTTCTCGTACTCTTCCTTGGTAGACGGCTGGGGGATCTTGTTTTTTGGTCTTTCGTAGCCTGGCCACCCGGTCGCTGGCTTCGGATCTGCCATAGAGGACGCATCGCTGTCGACGTCGACGCCCTCGAGGTTTGGGGCAAGGGGCTCTGATTCGGCGGTGTTGAGGTCGGTTGGAGGAGGGGTGATTGGGGCAGCGATGACGGAGAGGGTGGCATAGATGCCGGCGAGGATGAGGGAAGTACGCATTTTGCGTGGGTTGGATGTGTAGGGGGAAGTGATTTCAGTTGGTGTGGTAATGATATGATGACTTTTCAAGTAAACCTTTTGGGTGTCCTCCCTGGTGGACGGAGCGACGCAGACTTGTGCTCGCGCCGGGAGATGGTATACTGGACAAACCACGTTCTGTGGGAGAACACTTGAGGTGTGGCTTTATATAAGTCCAAGACACGCAACCTTGCGAGTTCGTCAGTCGTTCTTGAGGGTGTATCAAAGGGTCATGATGTCGTTGCAGACTTGGCCCTGTCTTGACTTTGCGAGATAGCCCCGAGGGTTAGGCCAGAGCTTATATCTCCTACTGATGTCTCATTGTTGTTTGCGCCAGAAGACTCCATCTTCTGAGTATCTAGGGTGGCATCATCTCTTCTCAGGTACCTTTGGAGGTTTTGCTCTCTTCTTTGCAGGTCACTCTAGAAGTGGCGCCTTTCATTGGCAACTTTATTGGGACCTTGATTTAAAGAGTCTCCTAATTTCGATCTTCCTTATGAGTTCTCGTGGTTATGAGAGTACAAGATGGTGATGTGACATTATCCTTCACCTCTTCGAAAGAGCTTTCGTCATCATTTCGAGGAAACCGTGACCGTCGCTTCCTCACTTGGTGAAGGCCAATGAAAATCGCCCTTAGAAGCGTTATTGAGCGATCCGTTGGTACTGAACTCCCAGCTGAAGGATGCCCTCTTCTGCCTATCCATAGGAGTGACCGAGAAACTCCGAACTCTGGAATTTTCGTTGACCTTGGTGGACTGACGACTCTCTTACTCGACGTTGAGAAAACAGTGAGACAACTTCCCAATCGAGTCTGGCGAGGGGAAAGGCCAGCGCTGATACGGCGGAATCCTTCCTCCACGCCACCCAACCTTGATGATAAGCACTAGAAGTCCGGGTACCCGCCTCGGCCAACTAACGAGCGACACAGTCGGGAGACGTCAAAACGAGCTGTCCAGGTCACCCCATGCAAACCGGCGAAGATCATTCGAAGCACATCATCGATAACTTTGTTGATGAAATCGTCCCTTGATCCTGTGGAGTGAACTTTATACAAAAGCCTATGAGCAAACCACTCTAGATCATTCGATGCAGGCTCACGCACCAATGGAAATGGCGTCGCAGAACGCCCATCAACCGTCTCAATTGGGGCCATCGCGTACGGACCCGGACCCGGAAGTGTACCTCAAAGATCCAAGATTCCACCAGTCCTTCACCTTACCCCCCGGCAACGACCGCCCGGATCCATTCAAAGTCACGTATTGCGACTACGGATATCGCAACCTGGACAACCCAGAGCGCGAGCATGTTCTGCTCTTCTGCGGTCCACTCCTGGGAAGGTAAGCCAATCATCTCACTCACAAACACCCCTCGCACATCACGGCACACCTCATCGCTCAAGGTCTAACGAACATACAGCCGCTACCTTCACATCGCCAAAGACGCCCTGGCAAAGAAACACAAGGTCCGCATAATCCACCCAGACAGACCAGGCTTTGGCGGCACAACCCACGTCGACGCCCCCGACCGCGTCCGCCTCTGGCTCGAAATCGTGCCCGCCCTCCTCGCGCACCTCTCCGTCCGCCACGTCTCTCTGGCCGCCCACAGCGGCGGCACAATCTACGCCCTCAACACGGTCCTCCACCTGCGTCACCTCCTCTCCCCCGACCGCCCCTACGTGGCCCTCGCCGCGCCGTGGGTCCACCAGTCCCGCTCGGGCGCCGCGCTCATGACCCTCGCGGGCGGGCTGCCGGAGACCGTGCTGGGCGGCTTCCACACGCTCGCCGGGTTCTCGCTGAAGCATGTTGCGCCTATGGCGGGCGCGGTGAGTGGGCTTTTTCCTAGTATGCAGGCTGTGAGCGGGCTGCTGCCTGCGTCGATGCGGATGGGTTCTGGTGCTGCCGCTCCTCTGCCTCCTCCTGCGGCGGAGGTGAATCCCATGGCAGAGTTTGAGGAGAAGATTTGGCCGCAGCTTATTCAAAAGGTGTATTCTGAGGATACGAGAGGGCTTAGCCAGGACGCCATCCTGCTGCTGAAGAGGGCGGGGCACTCGGATTACTGGGGCTCATGGAAGGATTATGACGAGCTCGTCACCCTGCTGGCGGAGGCTGAACACAGTCTTGATGTTGGCGTCGTTAAGGGCGCTGCAAAGCTCAAGGTTGATGTGTTCTGGGCGGAGGAGGACCAAATGATTGGGGTTGACAAGGGTCCCAAGTGGTTTGAGGATTGCTGGAGGGCTGAGCAGCGCCGTGACGTGATTGAGTTTTCTAGCTGCGTTGTTCCCGGGACTGATCATGATGGTATCATCGAATTGAAGTTTGATGTGTTTGAGAGGATATTCCGTCAAGTTGGCGAAAGTAGCGAGGAAGGGGATTCGGGCTTGCCATCTGCGGCATAGATTGAGGCGAACTGTGTAATTAGAGGCTTTACAAGAACAATTTTGAACTTCACCGTTATCTTTGCTGCGATGCCAAAGCGCATGTCACCTATCTTGATCCAAGTTCCCGAACAATCGCCAGTCGGTTGACTAACCAGATTGACTTTTGAGCCGAGGCTTCCCCAATATCTGACCTGTGAACTCTGTCCCCACAGGTCGAGATTTGGACAAGACATCAGACGACGTAGAGTTTGTGGCGGCCAGCCGAGAAGCCTTGGAAGTAGTCCACAACTGTACCCTCAAGTTCTCAGGGTGCCGCGAGATTGCCGTTCTCAACCTCGGCAGCCGGACTATGAGAGGCGGCCCTACAGAGTTCATGGAGAAGCCTTCGCAGTTGCTTAAGCCATATCGCGTTCAGAAGGATTGCCGTGCTTTCGGACCAGTCTTCAGAGCAACCCTTTCCAGTTCCCTCACGGTACCTTGGCTAATGAAAATGGATTCGAACATTGTTCCCATAGTCTCGGCAATCTCTCTCTTGGAAATCGGCAGGGCGGACAGAATATTGATGATTGAGGACTCACTCGCTGCCCCCGCGCGGTGAGAACATAGTTGTAATTCAGATAAGTATACCGAGTTGAGCCATGAGTCAAAGATTCGGAATCTTGTGATCACGCGCTAGAGAGAGCACCTCATATTTTTGGACATCGTGCTAGGACAAGGCGCTGGAAGACGTTAGGGTAACGCTAACCGTACCATGGCGACCTGCGTCCAACTTATTGTGCTTTCACAGATTCCGAATCTTGGATGAGGGGACACCTCATGATGACGGCCTTTACGAACGCCTTGGCTCAAAGTCTGCAAGTATGAAAAGATCAAGCACAAGTATCTCAAGGTCCGGAGAACCACTTGCCACGGCCAGTTTAACCCTATCTATACCGGAGCGTTGAGAGGCGTTGCAGTTGGGGAGTCCGAGACAGTGCGTTCCCCGGGGTCCCGCCAAACGGCGGTGGAGCTGGACAATGCTAAGCTTCGATGAGAATTGTTAATGACCCCGCGGAGCTGTCGCCGGCGGCCCTATCAGACTCCATCTGACCCCATGCGCCGAGGCCCAGTGAGATACGGGCCATGCCTAAAGCGGAAGCTTCCCTCAAGCTCCCCTCTCACCTCAACCCCGAACACCAAGCTCATGAAAGTCGTCAAGCTTACTCCGACCTCATTTCAACTCAACTCAACTCAATCCATCCCACCCTACCATCATACGCCACTTGCCAAGCCATATATACTATACACAAAATTCACTCGCCATCTCAGACAATTCAAGGAATTCAACCAAGAAGAACAAAGACAACTCACTCCGTGTGTGACATCAAACACACTCCAAGAACCACCACAATGCCGCCAACTACACTCACAACCCCCCTCACCCTCCAAATCCCCGCGGAACCCCTCACCCGCGCCGCTTTCGCCCCCTTCGGCGACGTGATCGAGAACCCTCACCCGGAAGTCCGCCCCGCCGCCACCCTCCCCGCCACCGTATCCGCCTCCTTCAGCGCCGTCTCCGCAAATCAAGGCACAGCCATAAAGTACCAAAACGTCTCCTCCCCTCTGGACCTCTACCCCCAGGCGCCTTCCCGCGCCGGTCGCCCCATCGTGAGCATCTTCTCCTGCGCCGCGCGGCAGCTCGAGCCCGCCGCTCCCCTGGCGCAACCGCCCATCTCAACGCTGTTGCCGTATACCTACGCCGGTCCCAGCAGGGGAGGCCGCTTCAGAGTAAGCGTGCTGGAACGACACCCCTTCACGACGCAGACTTTCGTCCCCTTTTCTGCTTCTTCGTCGGTGAGCGGCGCGGCGTACCTCGTCATCGTGGCACCTACCCTCGCGACCCCCAGCGCGCAGACGGATTCCCTCCCGGCCCCGGCTACCGGCGGCAAAGGTCGGGGTCTCCCAGACATCAAGGGCCTCAAGGCTTTTGTAGCGTCCCCGGGCCAGGCTGTAACCTACGGTGCGGGAACGTGGCATGCGCCCATGGTTGCGTTGGGACCGCAGGGCACGGCGATTGACTTTGTCGTGACGCAGTTTGCGAGCGGCGTGGGCGTCGAGGATTGTCAGGAGGTGGAGTTTGCGGCCGCGGGTGAGGAGGCGGGTATTGTGGTGCAGGTTCCCGAGAGGATGCCTGTTGTTGCAAAGTTGTGAGCAGGGCGGATAGGAACTGAGATATGCTTTTTGCGGCGGGAGGGCAGCAAGTCAATAGCGATGGGGAGTACTTGATGATGGCGCTTGTGTGTAAGCAAGGGAAGGAAAGCTAGCCCGAGTCTGCCTGGACATGTTGAAAGAGTTCAAGGCGGCGCCTCTGGATGACTGGGCAAAGGGGCGGTAAAACAAGCAAGAAATGCCATCAAATTGGTCATGATCTCACGTAGAGACGGAAGGTGACGAGGGCATGAAAGTCCACAGTCACCAAGCCATGTCAGGCAACTATTGCGTCTTAGCTCTCTCCATCACGCCGTAGATAGGCGATTGAGAACTACGTAGAACGTCGGCTTGGTGATCAAATGATCTTAAAAATTTTCTGTGCTACCTTGTCAAACTCGAGCCCTGCAAACAAACCAGATCTGTTCCACTCGTTCGATATCCGCCTCCCACCTTCGGCCGGTCCAAACGTGATGTACTCAAACAGCATTAAGAATCCCCTCCGAAAACAACTTGCCAAACTTCCCTCTCCAAACCTCTCATTCCAAACCTCTCATCAAACCTCCCGAACTGAGCGAACCTGAAAGTCGTAGCCCTTGCCAAAACTCTGATAGCGTGAATGAGATAGAGTCTGCTTCATCAGACTCTTGCAGTCGATGCGCCATCATCCTGGTTTGCTATTCACTTTTCGTACTCCTCGAATTCCACTGAGCGCAGAAGCTTCTCAATCGATGCGATCTCCAAGTATGGACGGAAATACAGAGGGAATCTCGGGTCCTTCTCTCCGTCCTCAGTGACCGGGATAGCAATGCGTCCATCCTCACCGAAGCTACGGATGCGGTTGCCATGACGCCTGTTGAACAAGTCAAACTCCAGAGTAGCTGGAGTGATGAAGTGATAGACAAAGACGGGGCGCTTCTGTCCATATCGAATGAGACGTCCCTTGGCCTGTCTCATGTACATGTCGTAGCTGTCCGAGTCTGTAAATAGAACTCCAGCAAACATGAGATGGTTCGCCTCGATCAAATTTGTGCCAGCGGACTCTGAAGACATGAGACTCTGGATCAGAACGGCCTTTCCATGGTGTGACTTGAATGCCTCAATCTGATTCGAGTCCTGATCGCCTCCGTCGGTCATGTAAACGCCAAAGCCGTTGTCGCTGCGAATGAGGTGGTCGTAGACCTCTTTCTTGATGCCCGCATACGCAGCAAAGATCAGAACCTTCTCGTCATCAAGGACATTGTTGAACATAACGTTCTCCATGTCGGATACCTTGGCACTGGGAACGGCCGAAAGATCGTGCTGCAGATTCGCGGGCGTCGCAAATATCTCGCTAGGGATAAATGACCCGCGACTGAATGCCTTGCAGCTTTGCATGGGGCACATTTGACCACCAGCCTCAGTGAAAGCACCAAAGCAGTCCTTGCAAAGCGAGTGACCGCATGCAATAGAATGATGCATGTCAAAATTTGCAGCAACGCGATCACAGACGTTGCAGGTGGCGGACAGCGGGCTTTGGCTTCCATGAAGAACATGGTTCAACTTCATCAGAAACATGCAGCGGCGCCATGCCTCCGTAGTGAGCTTGATGCCAGCCTGGACGCTTTGCACAACCAATATGAGATTGTTCAAAGTCTCGTCAATGGCCTGCCCACGGGGCTTAATCGTCTTGTCCTTCTGTGGTCGGTGAGCTGGAATCTGAATGCCGAATTCATAGTCGTCCTTGGTGGCTTTTCCATCGAAATGCTTTTGAAGTTGAGCCGCCATGTCGCCAGTGTCCTTCAGTCCAATAGCCAAAGCCATTTCCTCGCATTTATCCTGGCTGTCCTGCTCTTGGCGAATGAGGTCGATGAGGGCCTCTCGGTTATCGATCCGACGACCACCAGAGCCAACCCACTGGTTCTGCAAGCTGTCCAACTCACCATCGGACAAATCGTGATCCGAGTCGAGAAGCCACCAATTGGCAGAATTGTATGTTCCAGGGCCACCCATCCACTCAGACCAAAACTTGCAGTCCCAATAGTTCTCTCGACTAGGGGTGTAATCTGAGCGGATCGAGCTTCGGTGGACGATCGCATCATGGAGATAGTTGATGAACGCACTATCATCAGAGTCGCCGTTGGTGTTCCTCATGAAATCGAAAATCTCCTCCATATGACCAAAGTAGGCATCTTTTTTAGTTTTCCCACTGCCTGTATCAGCATCGTTGGAAACCATATTCGCCAGGTACATCATTTTGTCGAAGAGGGATACCAGAATCCGGGTGCAACGGGCAAGGTGATCACCAGCTGCAGCAGACGCTTCGTTGCCGAGACGCTCCAGAGTCAACTTCGCATTGGGTTCTGTCCACCCCATGCCCTCGAAGCCCTTTCGGCCGGAAGAAACGGACAACGAAGACAAGAGAAGTAACGCGTCGACCGCATCCGACCAGATAGATTTTCCGGCAGCTTTGACCTTGGAACCGGCACTCTGGGTCATTTCTTCGTTCAAGATGGTGCGAAGAAAAGTATCAAGACCACAGGGCATGCTATCAACGTCCCACTTGGCATCATGAAGAACCTGCTGTACAAAATTGTATACCAAGGCTTCTTGAGTGTTCATGGGAGTGAAGCAGGCGACCTCGGCTATTTCCACACCTGGAATCTCTGTCTTGTTCTTCCGCAAGAAGTGGAGAAGGAATTTCTGTCCCTGCTCATGGCGATCGGCCGCGAGCTGAGCGGACAAGGGCTCTGTGTAGCTGCGGAATGTTTCGGCGTCAGTTAGTTCGGATACCTTGGGCCCAGCCGTGACATTGGGGAAGAATCCTGGCATTGATGGTGTCGGTCGCGCAACATGAACATTGAGCAACGCTGCAGTCTCGCAGATCTGACCGAGGTTGATGGTAGGCGGTGTACCTGAGAGGATCCATTTCGAGGACGCGACAGCGTTCTGGAAGAAGGTTGCAACGGATGTGTTCTCATACGAAAACTCATCAAAGACCACGCGGCAGTAAGTGTACATTTCAAGTACCTCGCCATTCTGGAAGGCCTCCTTTACATCAATGGTGACGGCCGTCGTGGGCTTTGCTGCCTTACTCTTCTTCTTTCTGGGTGTCGCCTTGGCGGTCTGTTGCGTTTTCCGATCGCTAGCTTCCACTATGTTGGCCGCGGCCATCCGGACCCAATCATTGCTGATGGTGCGGCGACCTTGGATTCTCGCCTCGACATGCGCATTGTTCGGGTTGTCAGGGTTGCTGTGGTCATAGGCGGCATGCTTGATGGTTTCAACCACTTCGTAATGCCAGTCCTGGGAGTCTCGGTTCGATCTCTTCTGACGGATTGATGGCATCTGGGCGATTGCAGCGAGCTTGTCGATGTTTTTCTCAGAAGCCATCAGGGTGCTGCTGACAATGATGATGTCTGCTGCTTCCATGCTCCTCCGTGAGATATCAGTCGTTTTGGTGAGCACGAGAATTCGAAGCTGACGAACAAATCTCTTAGCTTCTTTGGCCCACTGCGACACGATATGAGGTGGCACGATGACCAAAGTGGCCTTGATGTGGATGAACGCCGTGGTTCCTAACCACCGAGAACGCTCCAGAATAGAAAACTCTGCATGCATGGGAGTGGTTGTGTAATCAACAAGACCAAGTGTAACTATAGTCTTGCCGTAGCCGATGTCGTGTGCAAGAACACCTCCTCGGGCATAGTTCTCAAGCTCTGCGACAGCACTTAAGCGCACGTTCACAGATGGAAGAACTCGCTCCTCAAATTCCCTTTCAGTGAACGATTCGTCTCTTTCGCGGTGCCGCATCCACTGACAAGCCTCGAGTTGATCTTGTCGAAGCATCATTCCATTCTGCAGAAAACGGGGCGGCTGAAAGAAGCCTTGGGGAGGATAGGGACTTGCCTGAACAGCGCCCATGCTGTTCTTGAAGGGGGGCAACCCCTTCAGGCTGGGCTCGTGGTAGCTCATTTTCACACGGAAATTGCCACTTCCGCGAGTTGAGCGGACCATGGGCGACATGATGTCCTTGTCGACCGGGAAGTAACCATGCGCCCGGTGCGCGAGCGACGCTGGGTTGAGCAGAATTCTCATGCTCAGCACATTGTATCCGTCAGCTTCACTCGGCTCCAGTCGGGCCTGGATCTCGAGAGGAGCTGGTCGTCGCAACATAGCCTGCTCCGCTTGAGTCGCCACTGCCTCGTCCTCGATTCGCACAACGCTGCCATCCGCATCCCAGTGGTGAAGAGCCTTTGGAGCGGTCGGCGAGCATCTGTAGCACGCATCACCAGAATCCAGCATGATTTCACCGACTGTAAGAAGTTCAGCACATGCTAAGGCCGGCAATTTGTTGATGGCAGAAGATGCCAGTGCTAATGCATCCTTGATCTCATGCTGGGCAATCGTGAACCAGATATCGGGCGAAGCTGCCATGCTGTTTGTACCGGAAGGGGAAGTCAACTGGGTGAGGAGTGACTTCACTGGAAAGTGCATGTCGGTCTTGTCCATTTTGATCATGATGGACGGGATCGAAGATTGACAGTCGATATTCCTGATAGCCTGCTCCTGCAAATCGTTGAGACCAATATGGAGGGCTGGATCACGCTCGTGGACAGTGATATCCAGGGCGGGCGGCAGAGACGTGTACACGCCAGGCAACACGGCCGTGACTGTAGAGCCCGGAGGCTGTTCCTCTTGGTGCTTGAACCCTTTGGGAAAAACGCAGATGATGTCTCGCACTTGATCCGGCTCGAGCTTTCTAGGGTTCTTCGTCAAGACCCATCGGTCGGTTTCGGCAGCTCCATTGCAGTTCGTCTGGAGCATCATGTAGACGGGACCGAGAGGATCGTTCTTGGTGAAGAGGAGCCCCAGTGGGGTTGCGCACTTGTCTGTAAAGTGGTAATACCCGTTGACGACATGCGTGATGTCGTTGACTAGAGAGGGTGCAAGGCCGTTGACTTCAACAAGCTTCTGGTTGAAAGCATTAATCCTTCCATCACTGGCGCGTTCTTGGACCAGATCCACGTTGATTTTGCGTTGGACAAATAGCTTCTAGCTGTCTGCCGTAGGAGTGAACTCCGCGTCATGGTCTGTGAGCACTGCTTTCAAGAGAGGCTGGCGAAGGTCGTAACCTAGAGCAGCCAATTCAACTGCCACTTCGCCGGCTGAGATATCGTTCCGAATCGATGGGCGCCCGAATTCAATATAGACGGGTCTCAGGTGCATGCTCCACGTAACGTCCTTTTCGGTGACGACAACGACGATGATTGACTTTTCGGATTCGTAAGTCACAGTCAGATCGTCTCTGAACTTGAGGTCCGTCTGGTAGTAATGAACTCCGCCTGCACACGTCTGGATTGCGCGGTGTAAAGCCTCGAGGTGGTCGCTGAAGGTCTGCTTGTCGAGGTTGTGGAGAATATCGCCACTGTGAAGGGTATCGGTACCTGCCCAATCGATGTAGAGATGAGCTGGCAAAGCAGCAATCGCAAGCTCTTGAGCCAAACTTCTGCCGATTGACACCTTGTCGTCGATGGGGTTGGCCCTATCAAAATTGTGATCGGGATTTCCGGCACAGCTTTGGCAGCGCGTCTCATTGCAGTCCTTGCATCGCAAATAAACACCGGTGTATTGATGCTTGCGGAAGGCGTCGCAGCGACATTTTCGGCACCCATTACGGCAGAGGGTGCAGAAAAACTCGACTGACTTATTGCCGTCCCAGCCGGAGGAGACGATCTCCTGCCAAGCCATCTTGTTGGGAGTGGTTGCCGAGGCAGAAAATGGTCGATCGATTTCTTTTCCTTTTCTGCTGGAAGATGTGTGGGTTTTGCGTCCAAGGGCGGAGGTGTCGACGGTAAGGAAAGATTCTGAGAGATCGGAAGGCCCGGCCTCGTCAGTCGAGGTGTGAAGAACGCCGCTGCTAGGCAGCAGCTGGGTGGGGTTGGCTTGGGCAAGACCCTGCAAGTGCCTGTTGCTTGCCTTCGTCTTGAACCTGAACTCGGCAATGAGGGCACAGAGGATAGCTGCACCGGCGACGGTGGTCGTCATTGCGTTTCCGGCAAGGTCCTTGAGCTGGTTTTCCCCCTCGACCGAAAGCGAGATGCGGTCAATGGGAATGCCCTGCACAGCGAGACACTCGAGTCCGAGGAGAGGACGGCCATCGTACGAGATGAAGAGATCAGCTGAGGGAAGAACACACGGAATGACACCCAGCCTTCCGCTCTGTCGATCCACGTTCTGTCCGACGTCAAGAATGAACATCTTGTGGGTGAAGTCATACCCCTTCTTCTGTGCTCTCAGGTACTCGATGTCGAGTAGATCCTGCATTCGCCAAGTATAGGCTGAGATGACGCCCTGCCAGGCGTCCTCGCGGGGCTGAACGTTGCCTCTGTCATCCATCCGAGTATACGGGTTCGACGTGCCGAGCTCTTCCTTTCGACGTGCCGACCTGTGATCGGCAGCACAATGGACAGCCTCGACGTCTCTCTTCGGCTTCGAGAGCAGCGTTCGTTCCAATTGGAATCGAGTCTGAAGCACGCGCGGATCAGACGGGGGAAGCAAGAACTTCTGGAGGTCAGGCGGATTCTTGAACCACTGCGTAATATCCATGAGCTTGACCCATGTATTAACGATCTCCTTGGCCTTGTTTCCATAGTAGCGAGCATCTACTCCGAGTAGATATTTTCTCTGCCTCGTTTGAGGGACCAAGAAGTTCTTGGAGTCGACTTGGACATACGCCGCCACGTACCCGATGCTTGGCAGCCAGAAGTCCTTGAATTGGTCCCACGGAGCCCTTGTGACGTTCTCCAAGATGACGATCTTGGGCCGATGGGCATGGGTGTACATGAGAATGGACAGGAAAGTTTTGGTTGACTCTCCCTTCTCATCTTTGATGCCTTCGAAGATTTGTTGAAGGCCATCGACAACTTGAGTGGCCATCGGGTCGTCTTGTTGAATGGCTGAGATGCCCCTGGCCTTGAATCGCTCGAAAAGCTTATTGAGACCGGACTTCTTCTTCTTATCGTTCTTGGCGTAGTTCAGGCTCGAAAAGTCGACGCAAGAGCTTCCAGCAATGAGGACGTCGATTCCCAAAGGAATATCGGCCATGGCTCCGGAAGCCGTCATCCTACATTACTGTCAGTACATGAAAGAACGCTAGTGAGAGGTGAAGTACTTACGCCTGAGTAGCTCCGGGCATGCCAACGTCGACGACATTGCGAAAAATCGGGCCTGAAGGAGCCGCATTGCGACGAATGAAGGCTTGCTTGAACGGTTCAATCTCAACGCTGAAGACATGGCTGTACTGAAGGAGTCCCGGATAGCCGCAGGCGGTGGCCGCTTCAACGAACTCACGTAGAGCCAGGATGGGACCATCCGTGCCGGAGCACATGGTCGCAATCCTGAACGACACGCCGCCGGCATTGAGGAGCTTATTCAGGCCGAGCTTCAATGCCTTGTCAAAGATGATTGGAAAGGCGTCGCGCGGGCGGTTCACAGATCGCTCATCCATAATCAGAACAGGCACTGCTTGATCCATGGTGGGCTGAGGAGTGAATTGTGCTCCAAGTTCTGAATTTCCTGAGGCAGACTGAGATCCAGAAGGAAAATGGGTTGTGAAATTTAATCCAGGTGTAGAAGCTATGCGACCCGAAATCACGTGAGTATGAGAACCCACGTGAGGCGAATATACCGACGGATATGCAGAACCCGACGGAGACTCAGCAGTCAAGTGAGAAGCCATGGGGGCAAGGCTATCATGTAGTCCCTGCGAGGTGGAGCCACCATGTTGGCCACCATAGTAATCTTCGACCGGCGGTGCGACTGGAACATAGGACGGAGAGCCTTGGTTGAAGCCTTGACTGTGCATCAAGTCCTGGTTTTGTTGAGCCATAGAGTCGTCATGGTGTTCGTTATCCTGGCCAAAGGTCTGCTCAGATGGTATCAGGGGTACAGTCTGTTGGCGCGTCCACTGATCCCCATTCTCGTCGACGTATCTGTAAGTCGCGATGAGTTGACCATTGCTGTCGTATTCTTGGCTGTTAAGGAACCAGAAACGGCCCTCGTTATCAGCGTAAAATTGCTCCATGGCGGCGTGGCCAGTGGCGGGCCCATAGGCGAGAGGAGGAGCAGCGTTTGTAACTCCGTCTTGAAAATCAAAATCATTGCTATTATTGGTCTGTCCGATTTGCGGGTGAGTTGTCGGGCCTAAACCCTGGCCGGCCGGGCCGTTTGGAGGAGCGAGGGGGGGCATCCCCTCGAAACTCGTGTGGAAGTTGATACTCTGCTCGGGGCCCGTGGAAGCAAATGGGCCAGGATCCCCAAGGTCAGCGTGAGGATCTTCAAGGTCGGCGTAAGGATCTCCAAGGTGAGCGAGAAGATCTTCAAGGTCAGGGAGATCTCCAAGATAACCATCGCCAACCTGGTGGTTTCCGTGTTGTATATCGTCGTCATTAGGCCATCCATCGTCGAGATCAGGGCCAAGGATGTGCGCCGGATCGGAATCCGGAAAAGGATTTCCCTGCTCATCTTGGCCAAAGGGAAAAGCCATATTTGCGAAAGACCAATGAGTTGACAGCAGAGAAGTCTGCCACAGGAGGAATTCTCGAGGTAGTGAAAGACGAAAAGGGGAAGTCTGAGTGAAGCGGTCAAGTGAGGTATGTACCAACGACGAGACACAGCCAATTCACCACCAAAATCAGCAGAGTTTGATGCTTTTTGAGGGCTTCTGACGATGTTGATGATGAAACAAAAGGAAGAAGAACTTGGTCTGGTTTGGTGTGGCAGAAGCTGGCAAAGTGATGAAGCTCAGTAAGAGTGATGAGAGTGTTGAGAAGAGGGAAGAAGAGAGGTAAGTGGAAAGTGGAAAAGTCTTGGGGGATTTTCCAAGCTCAAGGATGGAAGAATCTTTGTGGGAGGCCCCACGAAAAGTCATGTGCTCCCGCCTTCAGAGCGGAGAAGAGGGTTAGACTCAAGAAGGCGGGTGCCCTCGACCTTTGAAGCTATTCGGGGCGAGAGCTATCCCCTGAGGACGTCTTAACAAGGCGGGTGCCCCTGAGGAGGGAGACGGGAACATTGTGTGAGAGGCTCCGCAAAAAGGCACTGAGGGCTGACCTCTCTTGGTGATGAGAGAAACTTGCTTGACAAGGCGGGTGCCCCCGTCCTGGTGGCTCTTTATGGCGAGAGCTATCACTTGTTAGTTTCCTAACGAAGCCATGGCCTTTCAAGAGGAGCTCCCAGTTCATCTGTCCATTATATTCTAGAGATATGGTGTAACTCTGAGTGAAGGACTATCAGCTCTGTCTCAACAAAGAAGAGTCTTCTGCTCAAAGGTGTGGGCAGTTTATCATCTATGTGTATCTTGCTGAGTATCACCAGAAAGGATGTGGCGAGAGACGGGGCACTGAGAATGATTCAAAATCGACGTCGAGTTCAGATAGACCGTGCTTAACTTTGGCAAGGTATCCTTGCTCAGCAAAGACACTCTTGAGTCTTTGCATTTTAGGCGAATGCCCCTGAAAGGAAAATAAGTTGGTGCCTTCCAGCCAGGCCTTTCTCTACAACCTTTGGCCTGTCACAGACATGCGATGTACTCTCAAGGCGAGAGCTACTCGCAGAGACTTTCTGCTTGACAACATGACAACGTTGAAGGGCAGAAGAAGAAGAAGAAGTTAAGAGGCTACTTTCTACTCAGAATGAACATTCTCATTGTTGAAAGTGCGGTGACCAGAACTAAGACTGATGATGTTGAGTTCAAGACATGTCTGCGGGAACTTGATGGTTCTAGTAGTCAGCGCATCCAAGGATGGGACCACTCAACATCTTCAGAGCAAAGTATTGGCCATCATCTGAGCACTGCCACAGCTGACGAGGACGGATTTCCTCAAGAGTAGCTAGCATTGGGTAGTTGGGAGACTCAGACACTCGTTAAAGTATCTCGTCAGGGGGCAAGAGGTTGTCATCTTGGAAAGGCTCTTCCGAAACGGTAGGGCCTATGTTTGGATAATATGCCCAACCTTCTTCTCGAGAGAACTACATCAATCCGAGACTTTGAACTCACCAGATGACAGGAACAAGGTAAAAATGGGTGGTTTAATGTTGATGTTTGATTTGTACATTCCATCAGATGTTGGTAATGGTGCGTGAGTAAACGAAAGGGATCACTTCGACTAGCAAGCTGATGGCAAGAGAAGCTACGAGTAAAGAGCCATATTGTGTGCAACTTGCAAACGTAAGTGAATTGACCTATGTCCACTCATGCCTTGTCCAACTTTGAGACGGCTTATCATAGCAGTCATACTAATGGCCGTGGAAAGAGTCATTGAAGGGAGGCTGACTTCTGCTGTAGTAGCCGGAAGCCAGAAACAGCTTTAGACACGGTGATAGTGCTTTGTAGGATCATCTAGCTAGAAACGATGACACGTCTATCCAGCGAGGAGCAAGTGATGCCTCTTGGAAATAGCCATGCACGAAAGGATAGAGGTGATGGAGGAGACAGATGAGAAAATGGGATAGGGGCTTGGGAGTGATGATGTCTTCCCTCTGTACTGAAGTCGACTCGCATGTGCGTAATCCGGGCATACCTAGAAAACGAACAGAAGTCCGAGTTTCTAAGTTTCTAGTCGCGAAATTGGAAGGGGGAAAAAAACAGAAGAGAGAGAAGTGTATGCATATGCATCTGGAGTCCGGCCATCCAAGCCTTCGACTTCGAAGGTCCGATACCGTTTCCAGGCTACGGCGTATAAACAAGCGTCCCAAACGCCACTAGAGCTGCGGCCTGCAATGCTTTGCAGCAGAGATTGAGCACTTGCCCGGCCTGGATCATGGGGACCAAAACAAAGGTGCGATCACAACTTGACAATGCGAAGGTGGAAGCATGCTTCGCAGTAAACTCGTCTGCAATCCAGAGGCCTGAAGTCAAAACAAGATGAGTCCCAGGGGCAACAACATACCCGATTGGCCGTGGCATCACGGGAGGATTCCACATCATGTGACCCAACGCAGCGTGTATAGCTTAGTCATGAAAAGCAGTCTCCGCCGGTGACCGACGGCACCCATCCGTCTCCCCGTCCATAATTGGTTCGCGGCCGAGGTGCAGCTGAAGGGCGTATTGATTGGCGGTGACGACGACCTCACTCTTCAGCTATCCAGGTTCGTCAACGGCTTTAGTCCTTATTCGATTCGCCGGGACTCAATACGAAGTCCAGCCTTGGCGCTTGACCTATTTCGCTCGCGTCTGCTCTCCATTCTCGCTCCGCTTCTCGTCTAAGCCTCGTTCTTCAGAATACCTATATTCTCGTGTCTTTGTCTTTCTGCTGGAGATTTGAGGAAATATCCAAGTGACACTTCGCTCCCGAAACACAACCTCCAAGACATTCGACATGGGCTCTGAACTCGTCTCTACCGATGCCAAGAATAAGTTGGAAGACTTGTCTGGCATCACGATTCTGCCTGGTCAAAATCCATATGAAGCCTTCATTAAAGCTTGCAATGATAACCCAGTAAAGTCCAACCTTCAATGCAAGCCTGTGAACAGAGAACCTCCAAATCTGATGAGTGGAAATTGCGTAGGCAGAAATCCAGGCCCTCTACCAAGCCCACAGAACGAAGAGAAATAAGCAGCAGAAGCAGAAGTTCGTTGCTCCCGACTTCAAGGAGCTCATCATTGACCCTTTCCTTCTGAGATTGGAAAATCCGGAGATGGAACCGGGCTTCCAAGACCCTCGCAATTGCTTGGTCTTTTGGGCCCGGCCGCCGGATCACATTGTGCAACTTTCGGCTTACCTGCAGTCTTTGCTTAAGAAGGCCGCACCGAGTGAGATCCCTGAACAGTGCAACAATGAAGAGACATGAGAGACCCCTTGACTAACACGGGGACCTTCGAAAGGCATCTGGCTCATGCCCCAACACCGAATGCACCTTACAACTCTCGAGGTGACGCACTCCAAGACGCCTGAAGAGATCGTCACTCTCACGGATAACATGCGCTCGGCGATTCCCTACATCACGGATTACACCTACTCCCACAGGTCCCGTCTCGTAAGGCCCATGATCTCCTATGACCTCTCCGCCTTCGCCGTCTCCTTCCTTCCGGCGTCTGGCGAGCCGCCACTGAGCCCGCCCCCGGCGCCGACCGCCCAGCAGCAGGCCATCGTGCAGGGGGACGACTACACGTACCACCACCTCCGCCGCGACATCTTCACCCTCGCGCAGTCGACGGGCGTGCAGATCGAGTCGAGGTACCAGGTACCGAGCGCGCACATCACGCTAGGTCGGTACCTTACGGAGAAGGACCACGATACGCCCGAGGCGAGGAAGAAGTGGGTTGAGGCCATTGACGAAATCAACGCTTGGCTCGAAAAAGAGGTCTGGGACCGTCCGAATGCCGAATGGATTGGGGAGTGGGTTGTTGGGCAGGAAAGGGGGTTGGATGCCCGTAATGGACAGCTGTGGTACGGAGGCGGGAGGACGATCAAGCTAGGGGAGGGCTTCTGAGACGGAAACCTGGCTGGGCGCCTCGGCGCCTGGGCGTGTTGCAGAAACGAACTCAAGATCTAGATGAGGAATAGACGGCATGGCGGGAGATGACGCGGCGGATCCGATTCACATTGGACAAATAGATGGGATGGGAGTTGAACATGATAACGTTATTTCGTGACTCAGTTATGTGATTGACCGGTTGAGCCTCATAGAAGGCATCTATCTTCTAGCGACCACAGATTCGGGAACCTGGGCATGTCTCAACAGGGACAAGTTCATCCCACCTCGAGTGTGATCACCACCCTCAGGACAAACCGTTTGTCGAGTTCCCACGCATCCCGCATTTTCTCTTGTCACTTTTTTTCTCTTTTCGGTTTGTGGTTTCTCTAAGCGCGGACAGCAGGTGAGGGGTGAGGAGGGGAGGGAAGCTTGATGAATTGCTTTTGGTATCCGTTCGCAAGCAAGGGCTTTTATTTGTTCCCTATGTAGAGTTCCTCAAATGAGAACTGGTAACCCTCTTCGCCGCCATTGTTCCAGCCTGATGATGATCCGTGTGCCGTGAAAGGAGCCATAAAAGTCGGTCGACCGAAAACACAATGCGTTTAGAAAACGAGGGCAGCACCCTTGGTCTTCTTGTCACCACTATGAGGGTTGTCAGTATATGATTCGAGGTCGCGTCCATTAGATAGGGGATGAAATCATACCCCAACTCGAAGTGCTTGCAGCGCTTCAGGGCGAGCTGGAGCTTGGTCTTGCACTTGATGCACTCCAACCGCAGGACAACCTTCTTGGTGGTCTTAGCCTTCTTGTGGAAGACAGGCTTGGTCTGACCACCGTAACCGGACTGCTTTCGGTCGTAACGTCTCTTTCCCTGCGCGAACAGCGAGGCCTACATCGAACAACCATTTAGTGAACCGTCCGGATCGTGTATCGGGAGTGCGTCGCTAGAAATCGGTCGTCGCGCGCGAGTATTGTTGGACATACCTTGCCGGCCTTGTACTGGGTGACCTTGTGCTGGGTGTGCTTGCGGCACTCCTTGCCCTTGCAGTAGGTCATACGCGTCTTGGGAATGTTCACTGCACCCAGGGTCAGCCTCCAATGTCCATCGTCAAGACTAAGTCCATCTCGCAAAAGTCGTGTGCCATTGCCGCAGCCGGATTGATCCCCGTAAAGCCCGAGTCCTCTCCGTCGAGCGCTGCCGTGGTGTCGGACGTCGTTGGGTGTTCGTGTCGATATTCGTACATCAATCCCCCCGTTCCCAAGTCTTTTCTTGTCGATAGCGAATCGGCGGCAACACAACGGGCGGCGAGGTCGGCAATCCTTCTCTTTCTTAAATCGAATCCAGCTGCTGGCAATAACACCCAAATAGCATAACATTTCATTCCAATAAAGACTTACCCATCTTGGCGGCTGTTTGTCGATTTCGCTTGCCGGAGTGTCGTGACGATGAATTTGTCGGGGCCGGCGGGGGGAAGTGAAATTCAGTCGTTTTGCTGAAAATGTCGCTTGTGTGCGGGTAGGGCAGGTGCACGCTAAGCAATTTCCGCTTGCAAGACAGGTGTGGCTGAGGCGAGGTTCAGCCTCAATTCGAGGCAATCGGGCTGTCACACGTGACTTAGGTCGGGTCATGAGGCTGAAGCTGGTCGCGGCTGGTCCCAGCTGGCCTTCCATGTAACAATTCATCCTGATTCCCGGACCCAAATCCCACTCTCTATGTTATCATGTCATTACCTATGCTGGGCCTTTCATTGCAGGTTGCAACTACTAACCAAAGTTCAACAAACCTCCAATTGAGCTGGCTAGAACAAGCCTTTCGTACCTGTCGAGCCTGTTTACTTTACGAGGACGCGCCTGGCCGATGACTAAGAAGTTTCTACGTCGCTTCCCGTCTGGATCTCCCTGGCCATTGGCGCTTGACATTTCCATCTTCGCTCCTCGCGTTTCCCCCATAACCTTGTGGTGAAAAATCGACGAACCGTCCAAACACCGAAACACACGCCGTTCAGATCTAGGGCGAGCGTCGTGATCTTGGTCAATCCATCGCGCGTCAGAATAGTGTTTCCATGATAGACACGCAATCCTCTGTTTCGATCTCGCCCTATCTGGAAAGTCCCAACTCACTTTGCGACTCGGACGAGTCATGGCCGGCGAGGACAGGCAATCAGACTCTCAACAGACTCACGAAGACCAGCGCCGGGACCTGGCCTATGCCCTCCTCCCTTCTTCGACTCGACAACCTTCCCGCCTTCTTCCCCTCCAACCTGAACTTCCTCACAACTCTCGCCCGTCCGCCCTCCCGAGGCTTTCTAACAATTTCAGCTGACAGACGATGTCATCGCACCATCGCAGATATACCCCCGCTGTCATTGGCACCCGCGGCCAGAACTGACGTCACTAATAACCCAGCCTTTATTTTCCATTAATCCCAGCTTGGACCTTGCAAGGCGTTCTATTCGAAGCTCAAAGGGAGGCAGTTTCGGAAAAACTCTACCATCAATCAGTGACGCGATGCCTCTATTGTACGGCTCCCACAGGCCCAGGTGTCACTTGCCCAGCATGACGTATATTGAACACTATCCATGAGGCTCGGGAATTACCATCGTGGTCTAATCCAAACCACCCTGGTATGCCTATTCAGGATTCCAGGTCCACGCGAAAAAGGTGAGTTTAATTGCTTCACGACGAACACTTGACCTGGGGAGAGCTCGGTCGAAACCCATGATGGCATCCCGTCAATGACGGCGGGCCCCTAGTCTCGACGACTAGCCCAAATAGGATGCTAGAAGCCCGTCCGTCACCCTTCACGGCCTCCAAGTTTAAAGAACATCAATCAATTTGACGGGCGGCAGGGCGGCAGATTAACGGCTTCGGCACACTATGGCCAACTTGCTGTCCTTGAGTACTTCTAAATCTGTGTCGACTGTTCAAGCCGTGGTTCTCATGCCATTACTTGGGGCAAATATGATGGCTCAGATTGTTATTGATCATCAGCTACTGCAGGGGCGATTCTTTGTCAGTGCTTTCAATCTTCGCCAACGAGGAACGCATAGACCTCGAGATGGCAATACTACTCTTGCAAATTGAAGCACAGGGTCCAGCGGAAGCCAAGACAGCTGAACAGCCGGAGTGCATACGGATGAAACTTCCACGGCAATGAGGTAGCGAGCCTCTTGGTGTTCTCACCGTATAGTTCAGGATCGGATTGCATGCCAGCAGGTCACGCATTCCCACCACCTTACTACGGTATTGACCGGACGAAATAAGATCGAATTGAAGCGAGACCCGACTGAAAGGGCGTCCGCCTTGCCTGAGCCCGAAGCTAATTGTGCCGGTATAAACACTTTGAGTGGGCGAAACTACGTTCGGCTCACCGTCAGATGGTCTTCCGGTGGCGTTCATTACGACGACGTACCAGAGAACGAAGATGGGATTCTTAGGATTTGGACCATACGAGACCACACCGATACAATTACGGACCATGGCCTTCCTGATTCGGTCTGCCAGAAATACAACGCTATCAAAACAAGAGCCGCAACAGGAACTGGACGATTTGAAGGGTTGTGGCGCCCCAAAACAGCCCACTCCCTTCGCGGACGGCAGAGTTGTAGTGCTGCAGAGCGGATGGAATGGAATGAACAGGGCTGGAGCGACGAACCACGCCGTCCCAGCGCCGGTTTTCCGCGCCCCCAGAAGAAGCCCAGTGCCGGTCTTTTTTGTCGAGTTTCCCCCCCCAATTCGCTTGCTCTCCGTTCTTAACTTGACAAATCGCACCACCAAACTCGCAACGTGAGTTGAGCTTGGCATGAAACGTCGCCCAACGCCGCAACGTCGACGGTTTCAGATGCAGCAGCTCCCGTGCGCTTCAACCACGTTCCTTGCATGTCCACACCTTAATTGACGCCCCGATTCACGTCCCGGTTGCTTTCTTTAGCAACAAGCTACAGCCACCCTCCCTGTTCTTGGGTGCCGTGTCGCGAGCAGAGTGGGAGAGGAACCAAGTTAACCAACTGTAGTTCTTGGTCCTATACCAGACGGATCTACGCATAAGCCAGGTTTGCCAGGGCCCCACAAGGGACGCGCAACCCCTTCTCACACTCTCGAGTCTCTCTTCCTCTTTCCCCTACCAACGAGGCGCTGATCCCATACGCTCTGATACAGCTCCGCGAAGGCTGTCTTGCCTGTGCTGCAGATTCGTCCGTCCAGCTGGCGTCCCGGCTGTGGCGGGTATCCGAAGGATCATCACCAAGGTCCTTATTTTTCGGATATCGGAACGCGATGGGTCTGGAATACCACCAAGCTCTCGTATGGTCTCAGTAAGACCGGTATGCGCGATGAGGTCGGGTCCAACTCCTGAATACGGGACCTGCCAAGCTCATTCAATCCAAACGGTACATACGATGATGGGCTTGGAAGCTGGGGAAGGGATGGAAGAAGCACTTCGTCCGCAACAACTTGAGGCTCATTGGCCCCTTGTCCCCGGCTTGGCGGCTCAAGGCAAATCCTTGCTCGCTCCCCGCGACGTTGGGAGCTGAGACAGTCTGGCGTGGGAATGGTGGACAGTCAAGTCAGAGCCAAAGAGGCAAGGAGGCTCGGCAGTCCCCGAACCCTGGACATCCCAACTCAGGCCGACTGTCTGCCTCCTCTCCGCAGATCAGCCCGGTCAACCACCCCCCCGCTGCCGACTGGTCGGTCCCATCTGCTCGCTCTGTTGCATGATATGTGAGTTTTTGTGTCTTCTATACGTCCAACACTCTGTGCAGGGAGTTGGCTTGTTTGAAAAGTAAGGTCTGAGCCGGTGTCTGGACATGGAAGCAAAAACGTCACTTGCACAATTGTGTTCCCTTCTTTATAGTATTAACCTTCGCTGTTCCCCCTCCCTCACGCTCCCTCTTGCATTCGATCTTTTTTTTTGCTAGGCCAAGTTTCCATCACCAGATGTTTTTGTGATACCCAAATACCCAACTACTCACTCCGGCAATCATGGAGCGAGCACACTCTCTACTCACCAGCACGACACGATCCATCAGCAGCAGCCGGTCCAGCACCCGTTCATCCCGCTCAAATTCATTATTTCAGTCAACCCCAGGACAGGAGAAGGGGGAGTTCTTTCTCCCCGCGCCAGCCACTACGATCCCACAACCGAAACTCCGGGTGCGCGCGATACTAGGCCATTGCCTGTATCGCAGGGTTGTGATATGGACGGTGACAATTTCTATGCTGATCGCGCTCGCGTACCTGAATACGCCACTATACACCCGAGATGGAAAGATTCTAGGAGATGATTACAGAATAGGTGGAATGGGCGGTGACCCAAAGAAGCAGGGAAGGCCGGCGCCACCAGAGGAAGATCTCATTATCGACAGTGACATGCCGCCATGGCTCAAGTTCAAGCAGTGAGTGCCATGTCGTTTTCTAAGAGCTGTGAACAACCCGCTAATGTCATCAAGTCTCAATGGCTACTTCAACGGTCTGAAGTCCATCGTTCCCATTGCCAATCACACACCTGAATATCCCAACAACTCTTTCCCGGCACCCGTCACCACCGTGCCTATTTACCATGATACCCCTCCTACTCCCACTCCTTACGCAGCTCACCCAAACTACGCGTCTACTGAGTATCAGAGAGATTACCACCCTGTCAAGGAATGCTTCGTCGACGAAGAAGACAAGATTGCAGTCCCCGACATTTGGGCATTTGATGGTGTCCCCCAAAACCAGCCTGATCCGGCCATCGGCTCCCACACCGTGCTCGGCCTACGCAATGACGTTTGTTTCGATAGATTTGGCCGCTACGGCCCCTACGGACTTGGTTACGATATTCGCGAGGGAGGCACTTCTCAAGGTCAAGATACGGAGCAAGAGGGAGCTGACGTCGTTTGGACCAAGACTGGCAAGATCGATTACAGCCGTGTTGACTGGGGTGTCGCGCAAGATAGATGTGTCGAACGCAACAGCGCCCGCTTCAACAATGGCACCAAGCAGAGCACGTACGACTCGATTTACAGTGAGCCCGAAACCAACGAGACCGGAGTCAAGCAGATTGATCGAATTGCCGTCGTCGTCCGCACCTACGTCGGATTCGAGTGGACACAGCTCGCCATTGTCAACTTCCGCGCGATGATCTCCGAGCTCTCCCTCAAGTCGGGTGGCGAGTACAGCGTTCACTTCCTTCTCCATGTGAAGGATAACGAGGCTGCCATCTGGTCGGACCCCTCGGTGGTGCAGAGCATCCTCGATGCAAACGTTCCTACCGAATTCCACTCGCTCTGTACTCTATGGTCGGAAGCCGAGATGAAGCTTTATTACCCGGGTCATTTCGCCGACGCCATTGAGAATCCCTCGAATGGAGATATTCACGGAGTCTACCGCAGCGCCCAGATGCCCCTCCAGGTGTTCGCCCTTCAGCACCCGGAATACGCCCACTTCTGGAACTGGGAGATGGATATGCGCTACATTGGCTCATACTACGAATTGCTCGACCGCCTGGGATCCTGGGCTAAGCAACAGACTCGCACCCTTCTCTGGGAGCGGTCATCCAAGTATTACATCCCCGCCGAGCACGGTTCATGGAACGAATTCGCCAGTGTTGTCGAGAGAGAGCTCAACGCTTCTGGCCGCCGCGCCATTCTAGGCCCCCAAATTTTCCCCGGTCGTATGTCGCTCAAGAGTGAAGAGGCTGGCCATTCCATTCTGCCCGCTTCCTGCGCCCGCGGTGGCAATCCTGACGAGTGTGGAGTTGGTGAGGAAGCCGACCTCATCACATTGAATCCCCTCTTCGACGCCGACGAATCCGGCTGGGTTTTTGCCAAGGATGTCACTGGCTACGAGATGGTCTTTGCTCCGCCACCGCGCCGATGCTCCATCGTCACAGCTTCACGACTATCTCGCCGACTCTTGGCCGCCATGCACGAGGAGATGTGGCGTCTGCACCACAGCATGTTCTCGGAAATGTTCCCCGCCAGCATGGCTCTCCACCACGGCTTCAAGGCGGCTTACGCACCTCACCCCGTATTTCTGGATAGAGCATGGTACCCCTTCAACACTATCGAGAAGGCCTTCAACGGCGGCCGCGATGGTACTACGGGAGGTCACGGCAGTCCCTTTGACCTTAAGAACGAGCACAACCACAAGGGTACCAGCTGGTACTACAACTCGGAGTTTGCCGGTCTCCTCTGGCGCCGCTGGCTCGGATATCCTCAGATGGATGGCCGCGGCGGTAACGGCGGCCGCGCCGGCGAGGGCACATTACGTGGAGGCCAAGACGAGGAGTCCCACAAGGACAGCTCTGGACGCTTGTGCATGCGCAGCATGTTGCTGCATCCGATCAAGTGGGAGAACCCGATTGAGCGAAATTAAAGCGCGCCTTGGGATTTTTGATTTTGTTATCAGGCATTGAACTGTCGATGAAAGTTTTGCCGTCATCGAGATGACAAGCGGAAAGCGTGTTGCAATGCCCAAGGTTTTCTTTGGCCCTGGCTTGCAAAAGTTTGTTTCTTCATGTTGCTACACCCACCCCTTTTCTTTTGCATTTACAAACAACCTGGCTACATAGAGTGTACATATCGAGAGAGACTACGACGACACAGTACGGATTGGGAGGTTATACCAGCCGGGGGATTTTACGGTTCATGAACCCACAAAGCGTTTGATTCTTCTTTGCAAGATGAGAAACAGGATCATTATTCCGTGGGAGAGAAACAACACACTACGCAAAAAGAGCGCTGGCAAAGGTTTCGTGGACGAAAGCGTGGAACGAACAAAATCTCTTTTTGTACATAGAGCGTAAAATCATCGCTCTTTTTTTTTCAACATTGTTCTAAGCACTGTTTCTAAAACAGACACTCACACATTCACATACTCAACTCTTGAGGATGGCGAGATATTGCGACGGCGTTCGGGGTAAATTGGACGAGCTTGGGGCCCGAAGATTTAGGTTTTGGTGTTTGGTGGACAGGTAGCGAATGTGTCAGTCAGAGACTGAGTGGCAATAAAGAGAACACTCTATTCCACACAAACTTCTTGAACCGCCCACTTTGTGTGCTTGAAGCTGCCTCATTAATGGATACATGAGACGAGCAATTTCAGTATTGACCAGCATGAGATTCACAGCGCAGCATGGGTGAGGCACCCCATGAACTTGATTGATCAGTCGACGAGGCGTTCGTCGCAAAGGCGGAAAATGACAAAACTGTCAAGTTCGTGAGCCTCACATTTCGAGCAAAGCGAAGGGAAGAGGGGACTCGAGTTTGCCCCGGATTCACAGTGCATGCTGCCCATGACTCTCCCGACCCCTCCACCTTCTCCGCTTAACTCCTCCGATCACCTCGCACTTCCGCCCGTTCTTCCAGGTCTAGAACGCCACCTCTCCACGCTTTAAGTAGGGCCGACCCCAGCGAGGCCTCCTCTGTCACATGGCAGAACAAGGTATCGCCCATGAGGAAGAACGACGAGACTCGAGAGAGCGGCTCGCCGTTCTGTTCCATAGAAAGGCCCCGAAATACGGACTGCGGTCACCGGTGGTTTTTCTGGTGACTGGTAACTGGAACTGGTATACGAGCCCTAGATGGTAGCTTTTCGCCGGTGGGAGTAACCTCTGGTATTAAGTTGGGGGCCGCAGTGGCCGCGCGCGCGGCTCTGGGCGTCAGGTGGAGGAGTAGAAGTGGGAGAAGAGGGGGAAGGGCCCAAAGGAAACCAGGAACTCGACTCAGGTCCAGGGCAGGGTGAGGTCTAAGAAAGTATATTGAAGCACTCTTGGGGGAGCTGTTGCAGAACGGCCATGCCTTGTCACATACCGGCCCGATGGGGGGTCCAGCAAGAGGGAGTCCGCGCGAAGCGGGAAACCCGGGTTATAGTATAGCATTGAAGACGCGGCCTCCACCTCCTCCCTCTCCACTCCTCTCCTTCGCCTTGGATGAGACCGGGGAAGAATAAAGATCCAAGGTCGGTATCTCCGGATGAACCGAACGTCGGTTGTTTCTGTTCTCGCTTTCGGGATGAGGTAAGCGGGCTCGACGCATGGGCTCATGTTGGATCTCTTGGCGAAACCCCCCTCTGTGGTAGGTGTTCCAGAGAGATGAAGCGTGAAGGAGAAGCCGCGGCTTTCGGGGCTATTCTCCTCGGTAATATAAGGTGGTGTGATGTTATGGTATATGTCTAATTGTAGACACGAGGTGGGGAGTCGCTGCTGTCTATCTGGTGCTGTACCTGATGGTACCTAGATCCTCGGACTATTGGTGGCTTTGGAGAAATGTCAGATATACCGGATATCTTATTTCGTCCAAACATGGCGCTAGTCTATTCTCGAATGCTTTCTACTCGCCACCAAAGTGGCCATCGGTACAGATAAATGGGCCGTTTCTGGCCAAGCCAGGAACATATCGAAATTAGTGGGATAATGGGATTGAGTTCTAGACTAACTCACATCCACGCGGGTACCTTTTATCGCATCGGTATATTTGGGACCTCGGCAGATAGTGGTGTAGGTGAAGGGTAGAAAGTCTGAATCTCACTAAGCACACTTCGGGTCAATTGGAATACGATTGGAGAATGTCGACGTGAACGTCAATGAAGGATGGTAGGTTTTGCACGGCATGATTACGGAGATCATGACTGCGATCATTGAAGATTATTTGATTATGAACGCGCCATCTGGCATCAACAGCACAAGAAATGGTGTAATACGGCTTGGTCCGGGGGTTGACGAATATTGGTGAGATGTCGTATGTACTCGGGTCCGAAAAGTCCGGGACTTCGCGCCGTAGTTCGGGCTGTCGAACATGCCGACAGATGGATAGAGCGGACTTTTGGTCAACGTCACTGTTCCTACAGAGGGAGAGCTCGGTCACAAGTCCTTGGTTCGAAGCTGTGTCCGTCCGTATAACAGTGGCAGCGACAATGCCACTTGCCATCCTGACTGAGTAAATGAAGCGAGGTTGTTTTCAATGGGGAGATTAGTCTGAGTTGTGCTTGAATGCCTCTCAGCATGCTCGTACTCGCCAAGTATTCCTCAAACTGTTTGATCTGCGGCTGTTTGCCAAAAGTCCATCTCACAGCGAAATGTATTCGGAGACGAAAACAGTTAAGTTTTTGCCAATCAAGACACGATGTAATTGTGACGTTCAGTGGTGCGATATCCAAGTCTTCTCCCCAATGGCCTCAGAGATCAAAGGGGATAGACAACATGCATTGTCTTTCTGCCGCAAAGAGCAGGAAATAGTAAATTCGCTGATGACAGACACATCGTACATTTATCAAAACGGGTCTTCTCCATACGAACACTTGCTACAGATAGAAAGAAGATAATCGTCATAATTATACCGCGAGGGATACAGATCTCTTGATCGATGGAATTGGACTCCCACCCAGACAATGAAGACTGTGCCTCATGTGCCTTTCCGTCTTTAGCAAGCTAACTACACCGTTCTCAGAACGTTGACGAGGTCCATCACAACCGCACGCCATGATGGGATTTATGCGAGGTGTGTTACCGGTTTGAGGCTCTTAAACATCGAAATACGATATGTACAGAGGTGGTATGATTAGTGGAAGCGCCAGTCCAGAGCTTGAGGGCCGAAGCTAGACGCTATCCGTTGATGTTTAGGCATGTCTTGCCGTGTTGACTCGCACCGATAAATGAAATCTTCGTTTGCCGGTTGTGGCGTCTTGCTGATCGGTACCTATTGTACAGGGCTACGACCATGATTTTGCTCTGCCCCCTCTATCTGGGTTTTATTATATATTCTCCATGTGATATACTTCAAAGGGCCCACGAAGATCGTAAGAGGCGTGGTGTTGACAATGAAGTGGGTTGTCTCGTGTGCATTTGGGAGAAATATTGTACAGATATGCGATAGCCCCGCCAGAAGCTTTTCAAGCCACGACGGAGCTGGATGTTGAACGCCAGACGAGGTCGCTCCAAGGACCTTTTTAGAGCCATCCGCACAATTTCACAGCCTCTAGCTTATACTCAGGAAATACCAGCTCCTCTGCAGTGAATGGATGGGGAATTTCAAACCTGACGCTTGAAACCAGAAAATAAACCGAAAGGGCCAAAGGAATGATCGTGACCCAGAATTGATCTCCTGAGGTATTGTTCATCTTTGTCTCGCTCAATTTTCATCAAGACTACTACCAATCACCATCCCCCACTGTGATCAAGCTATCAAACCTATTTCCCCTACCCGTCACAAACCTCATTTTCTCATCACTCATATCAGCCTCCTCCGGGACATCACCAGTCCGATCCGGAAGCACGTCCTCGATAGCCCACGCAATCCTCTCGGCGCCCGCTCGTGCGCCCGCGAGGTTGGCAGCTCCTGGCCCCAGACGTAGCGCGGCAAGTCTTCCTGATATGAAGAGCGGCACGTCTTTTGACCACTTCAAATCGTCGTCGATGCACGGCAAGCCCCCGTGGCCATGGATGGGATGTTCCTGCAGCATTGTCTGCATATACGGCAAGCTCGCATAATCCGTCTGCACTCCAGTGGCAAAGTAAATGAAATCCATACCCGGCAGGTCCCCTTCCGCGGCCGGCGGCTCCGTCTTGACGTTCCAGACCTTCTGCTCCTCGTCAAAACGAGCCTCGGATAGTTTGGTGTTGGTCAAGAGGCGCAAGCTTCCCTTGGCTATATGCTGCTTCAACCTCTTTTGGTATGGCGGCGTGATGCTCCCTCCGCCCCTGGCGCTCTGAATCTGCTGTAGCCGCTCCTCATCCGAGTCGGCGGACCAAAAGTATGCCTGCTCCACGTTGCGAAACTTGCCCATCCACGCGAGGTCAATATCAAACGGCTTCACCTTGCAAGGGCCGCGCATGAGGTGCCAAACTTTAGTCACGCCGCGCCGGATAGCCAGGTCAGACAATTGTGCTGACGTCAACCCGCCGCCCACGACGAGGACATTTGTCGTCTTCTTTGCGGAAATCTTGACCTGCACAACCGGATCGGGAAACTTCTGAATCTGCATGCTGTGGCAGACTTGAGGTGGCGCCGCGCAACACGGTTCGCTGTTAAGGCCTAGGACGGGAGGGATCGTGGGCGCGTTGGCTGGGCCGACGGCCAGGACGACTGTTCTCGCATAGTGCGTTCCCTTGTTCGTGTGGACGGCAAAGAGGTTTGCATCCGGGGAGACTTGCTTGATGGTGCGGTACTGGATGTCTTCCACCTTTTCGTTTTGGATGAGGCCTTCGCGGAGACCGTAGCGATCGACGATGCATTCGCAGTGGTTGGCGAAGAGGTTTGTGGGGGGCGTGAAGTAGTCTTTGCGATCTCTTTCGTCGACTTCGACGACGGCGTGCTGTCTATGAGAAAGCCAGGTTAACATCGGCTTATACAGAAGTACAGATATGAAGGGGCGAGGCGTTGCTGCTTTACTTTGGGTTTCGTGACTTGAGCCTCGCCTTGCGCAGGTGCTTGCTAATTTCCTTTCCGACGCACGCCCGCAGCTCCTGTAGTTCGTTTTCCTGGTTCCGCTCGTGAGCTCTGGCGAGCAAAGCATCGCGATCACTCGGGTCTACGTGGAAGAACATGGGGCTCCGGAGATGAGTGATGTCGAAGGTCTTGAAGAGACGATTCCAGCGGTTCATCCACTCGTCGCCCGTGGCGTCCAGGACCAATGTCGAGTAGCGTTGGCTGCGTTCCGGTGTTCTCTTCTCAATGATATTGCCGTTCCGTCTGTTCTTTAGGGGCATGCGACGGCCGTACTTGCGGATCCAGTGATACCGCTGGTGCTCTTCGTCTGTGAAGAGGGCTGAGGGAGAGTGTTCACATAGGCGGGAGGCGACGGCTAGGCCGCAAGGCCCGGCGCCGATGATGAGGACGTCGTGGATGAATGCTTCTGTCATGTTGAGATAAAGTCAGGAGCTAGTGAGAATCATGCAACGTGAGAGGTAGTCGAAGAGAGGTAGCTCTCACGGGAGTCAGACGGTTTTGTCTTCCATCTCATCAACTCTTGCCCTGAACCTGCCCCCCTCAGTCACCTCATCACAGGGGACTTCCACTTACAGCTATATCGACCTTGATGGCCAGCTACTAAGGGCTATGAAGCCAATGATAAGCAGAGGTGGTGGCCGTGATCCCTGTCCGGGGTGTTTCTGATGGCTCCATCTCAGCGCTGGGAACCTTGATGGCCAATTGAATGGAGCAGAATGAGGCAATGGCGGCGGGGAGAACGATTCATGAGTGAGACGCATTTATCGTGAAAATGACATCTCGCAAGCAGAATGAAGAGAGATCGAACTTGTTTTATCAATCGTGGAAAGAACATTCAAAATGTGTCCTAGACACAAAGATCAGCCAGGGCACACTAGACTCTCTTACATGACCCTCGCGGTGGCCAACCCATTGCCACGTCAATGATTTGCTATAACCACATGCCTAAGAAGCCGAATTCTAGGACTCAAGCATCTCTGATAAGCATGGCCTAGCTGTTTTGGGAGTGGGCGCATTCTGGATCGCCTGGGCAGGACACGGCGTGTTGCCGGACATTGACCCGAATCGGTGCTCCGCATTGCCCCACAACCGGCTATCACCCGGGAACCCACTCATTCCGATCACCGGTCACTCGGCCAGCTGGCTGTCTCCGGCTGTACCAGTTCGCCCAGTTTCTACGCCGACCCGACCGGAGTCACTTCACGGGCCAGAATTACTGAATAGAGCCATGCCAATTGAATGATCTAAAATTGCGAATCAGCAACCGATTCATGCAGCGGATGTATCCCAGCCAGGTGGGTCGAGCATGGAGACGCATTAACCATTTGCTGTTCCATTTGATATACAGACCTTGTCCGCATAATTGCCCATTTCAGTGCTTTGAGTAAGTAGGTCAAGTAAGGTAGGAAATATGGCGTCGTCAATGACTTGGAATATTACAGCAGTGGTGCTCCTGTCACCACAGCCAACTCGGAATGATCCGGGGTTCAACCGAACTACCACGTGTCGACTTGTCGCGTCTTTTTTGGCTCTCCCATTTGGCAGGCGTGCAAGTGACAACTGGCAGTTTTGGCTTCAGAAACGGTACGTATTCTTTCCAGTCCCAGGACAGAGAGCTCCTTCTCCGTGCGGCCGTGCCCCCCTTCCTCCACATGAAAGAACCCACATCCTCCCCAACAGAAATCTCGTCATCCCTGCCGGGCAGAATTGACCCGCAAGAGCATTTTTTCGCGTCCATTTGGTATCCAGCCATTGGCTCGTGTCAGCCAAGCCACGACGTCCTTTCTTCCTGGATTCTCTCTGGCAAGTAGCTCCTCCCTCGACGTAATTGTGCAGTGCATAGCTCAGTTCAGCCACACAGCACGATGACGCCACTACCTTGCACAAAGCTGGCAATTACGACAGAATCCGCCTCCTAAACCAGCAAGACCAGCTGTGCAGGGAAGATGAGGGAGGAAGCACCAGCTGCACAAGCTTGGAGCCACAGCACAAGCCGCAAATTTCCCATCGGGGTGTTCTTGCTCTCCATCCCGTCACCCTCGACCCCCCCTGCTCCTACCTATACTGCGTATGGCATGCCCCATGCTCCTCTAACGAACAATGGACGCGGACAGGGAATAAATGCGTGCCCCGGAATTCTTTCAGAGCGTTGGAAATAGGAGGGGGTGTATGCTAAGGTATTTCTGAGTTCTTTTTTGGTGCTGGAATCTTGAGGCAGGCTCGCATAGAAATTGTAACCGTGTTTTTGTGTATGGCCAAATCTCGATGAGCATCGTGGCATTTTCCCAAGTCGTGACACGCGACTGTGGTCTAGACTGAGTAGATATGAAGGAAGGGCGCTATCCAACAAACCAAAGGATCCAAGCTCAGAATCACAACTTCAAGAAAAAGAAGCTCTTGTTTGATACTAGACAACCTACCCGCGCTTCACGAAGCTTCAAGTTCTACATCGCAGCAGCTCAGCTACCTAAGTTGACACTCTTGATCCATCA